TTTTTGGTCCTTGGTGTGTTACGTACTTAAAATCGAACGAAAATATATATGGGAGCTATATCCAAATCTGAACCGATTTCAACAAAACGTGACTCACGTTCGACTACACTAATACAATTTTGTGTCAGTGGAACTAACATTGGGTCTTTGCATTAAATCGAACGAAAATATATATGGGAGCTATGAATAAATCTGTACCGATTTTCACGAAACTTAACACACATCATTCTAGACTTTAGTCAGAATGTCGTGCAAATTTCGTGCAAATCGCAAGATATATAGGGACTTTGGTACACCAATTACCTTAAATCGGACGAATATATATAAAAATGGAGTATATACATATATATAGGTGAGCTATATCTAGATCTGTACCGATTTCGATGAAATTTAACACACATCATTCTAGACTTAATTCAGTACGCTATGCCGAATTTCGTGCAAATTAAAAGATATTTAGGGACTGAGGTGCACCATTTACATTAAATCGGAGGAAAATATATATGGGAGCTATACCTAATCTGAACCGATTTTTACGAAACTTGACACACATTATTCTAGACTTTATTCCGTACGTGTAAATCGAAAGAGATATATGGACCATTTACATTAAATCGGGCAAAAAAAAATAAGGGAGCTATATCTAAAACTGAACCGATATTTCCCAATTTCAATAGAGTTCGTCCTTGAGTTAAATAGATGAACTGTGCCAAAATTCATCCTATTTGCATCATAAATGCGACCAGTACTTTTTTTTATAATTTAACATGGACAGACAGAAAGTGATTCTATGCATATTCTCAAAAGAACTACGGGTATATCTCTCTCCCTTTTGTATGTTACAAACATATGGACACTTCCACAAAAAGGTAAACCAAAGTTGAAGAATTTGTTTCTTTAATTGTGTCTAAATACGTAAAGTAAAAGCAAAAAATACAAAGAAAGGCCGCATTTTTATACCCTACACAACTATGTTGTCAGGGTATTATAGCTTTGTGCAGCCCCAAAAGTTTGTAACGCCGCGAAATATTGGTCCTAGACCCACCTTTAAGTATGGGTCGTCATATCTCGACTAGCTGAGTCGATCTAGACATGTGTGTCCGTCCGTCTGTCCATTATAATTTGTAAACACGATACAGGCCACAGTTATGGACCAATCTTAACGAAATTTTGCATGTAGGATGGGTTCTGGCCAATGAAGACCCCTATTGTTTTTGAAAAACATTGGTTAATATTTAGGGGATGAAATGGACCAAAAACTTTATTTTTGTCGGGTTTTCTGGTCGCTCCAGAGCCCGCAATTATGGCCCAAACACCGCGAATTTTTGCATGGAGAAGGGGATCGGGCCAAAGAATAAGCATGCCTGTTTTGACAATGATCGTTTAATATTTAGCGGGTCAAATGGACCCTAACTTTTGTGTGAAAAATTACAACATTTGTATTCTATAGCGTATATATTTACCATAACAATTGTATAGTCGTAGGTACTCGGATGCGGGAGTTACACTTAAATATTTACAGGTGCTTACGTATTCATATATTATTTAGTAACCGATTACCACACTGGAGGGCGGAAATATAGCTCCGATCGCTTTGAAATGTTCCATTAGGTTCCAGTTATGGTCAAGGACAACGCCTAAAATGTTAGGTAATGATCAGATAATAATTTTTCGGATGAAGTGGCCCGAAAACTTAATTATTTGTACTTTTCGAGTCGAAAGCCGAACATCACAACGGTGAAGGCAATCTGGACAAATATTTAGAGTGGCTGCACTGATTATTAGTAACATTTGCTGACCTCTAGCCAGTCAAAATTGTGCAAATATCGCGTAATATTGCCCCATCTCAGAATACAGAACAGTAGAAAGTTGGATTTTCATGCAAGTTGTGTAGGGTAACGTATGGTCGGCCCCGTCCGACGAAGATGCCTCCCTCTCCCCTAAGGTACACATTTTTAATCAGAATAAAATTCTATATGATTTATGCATGACTCTGTCTGTCTGTTGAAATCCTTGGATGTTTGGTGCTGAAAATGAGATATGGCGTTTTGGTGTTATTTGCAATTTTGTATTCTAATTGGGTAATACACCTTCCTACCAAAAATTATACATATTGGTCCACTTTTTATGATAGCCCACACATAGCGGTACATCCAAAATTTCGATATTTTGGGAGTATGGATACGTCCTGCACTTTGGTATTTTGAACTCAAATTGGGTAGCAAACTTTCCTATTAAAAACCGAATTGGCTGTTGTTTGGAATTTTGTATTCTCATTGGATACAACATTTTAATTAAGGGGACCCCCCCCCCATTCTCGGTGTCAAAAAATTTTTTGATTTAATTCGAATCTACTCTAATTCTAGAATGTTCCTACAAAATTTCAAGTGAAAATCTCAAGAACGCTTGAAGATATAGCCGATTTATTGTGTCAGCATCAATTGACGGCTAAATGGCTTCTCAAACTTTAAACACGTTTTTCTCAAAACGAATGGCGGGCACGATAACTCAGAAACTAATAATCCAATCGGTTTCAAATTTTGACACGTTTCTCTGGGAGTGTGTAGCTCTCGTATGAACTAGGATAAAGCCAATCGGTGAAGATCTTCCTTATTTTTTAACTTAGTTTGTGGTAAAAAATAGGCGATTTTCCAAAAAAAATTTTTCAAAGTTCCGCCATTTTGTTAATTGTTGTGCGAAGTCAATAATCCTAGTTCATACGAGAGCCAGACATGTCCTCTTTCTAACACAGTTGGAATTTTCGGATTCCGATGTTCCAGTGAGGAGTTATCATGCCCGCCATCGAAAATATGGACTTTTCTTTGAACCCAAAAAACAACAACAAAACAACAACAACAAATTTTGGTAAATTATTTTTCTTCCTTTTTACATCTTCAAATATATATGTGCCAAGTTACAAACCTTAACAAGCATTGGTATTCATTTACCAGCCCATTTAAAATCTTAAAAATAAAAAATCGTGAATGGGGGGGTTAATTGGCATCAATTTAAAGGTCAGCCACTCCTCTTGGATATACTATCAACTTTTCGGGCCTATGTCCTTCAGGAGTAAATATATACGCCATAGAATCCAAATTTTGTAATTTTTCACACAAAAGTCAGGGTCCATTTGACCCGCTTAATATTGACCGATCTTTATCAAAACATGCATGTTTATTCTTTGGCCCGATCCCTTTCTCCATGTAAAATTTCACGATGTTCGGGCCATAATTACGGCCTCTGGAGCGACCAGAAAACCCGACAAAAATTAAGTATTTGGTCCATTTCATCCCCTAAATATTAACTGATCTTTACCAAAAACAATAGGTGTCTTCATTGGCCAGAACCCATCCTACATGCAAAATTTCGTGAAGATTGGTCCATAACTGTGGCCTGTATCGTGTTTACAAATTATAATTAAAGGTGGGTCTAGGACCAATATTTCGCGGCGTTACAGACTCTTGGGGCTGCAGAAAGCTATAATACCCTGACAACATAGTTGTGCAGGGTATAAATATTAAGATGTGCAAAGTTTGGATGAAATCGATTATTCCCTTCGAGAGTTATCGTGCGCACCAGCCAGCAAGACAGACGGACATTTCTAAATCGACTAGAAATTGTCTGAAACGATTTGGTCCAAAGAAACATGGAGTCTAAAACCAATATTAAGATGTGCAAAGTTTGGATGAAATCGATTATTTCCTTCGAGAGTTATCGTGCCAACCATCAAGACAGACGGGCAGATGGACATTTCTAAATCGACTAGAAATTGTCTGAAACGATTTGGTCCAAAGAAACATGGGGTCTAAAACCAATATTTGGATGAGGCACATTTTCACCGTATCAAAGTGTTTATAAATAAATGAGCTGTGCCAAATTTCATGCAATTCGCATCAAAAATGCGACCTGTAACTTCTTTACAATTTAACTTGGACAGACAGTCAGATAGACGGACGGACATGCATAAATCGTCTCAGAAAGTGATTCTAAACATACTCTCGTTTAATTTTGCCCGTTACAAACATATACAGAAATGCATAATAAATTGTCTGCTAAGATATTTGTACCCAACAACGAACAAATTACAGGCGGATATGACATATAAAAAAAAATAGCATATAAGAAAGATTATAAAAATACCGAGCTTATACTTTCTTATATCCGATAATTCCATATAAGAAAAAAAAACGCATATAAGAAAGAAATCTCCGTTTTTTTTTTGAGTTTCTTATATCCGATATCCACTGTATATAGTTACTACACCAAAACGTTCATCCATTTTCAATGCCAAATATCTTGCCGTAGGAAGGTCATGGGTAAATCGATATAGATTTATACTTTGCTGAAGAATACAATTATATATACATTGTGGCGTCTCCGATGGAAATTTCGCCGTTCGCCAGAGGATAAAAATATTGCAAATTTAATTTGCCGATTACTGTATAATGACTTGCAATTTAAATCAATGCATCTCTCATGTAGTATCTATGTAAATATTACAATAATTTGTACTAGTCATTGTGACGTCACACACTCTTGACGAAAATACTGATAAGAATATGAAGTATCAGCACCATTCAAGCCAAGTGAACACAACAACAACAAAATGTCAATGTCTTTAATTGACATAAAAGAGTCTAGCACCGATAATCGATTATCCAATGCAGCATGCATTTTTTTTGGCGGTACTTAAAATTACAATTTAGGGGTATTGCTATGCAGATAAATGTTGGAAATTATTATTATAATGATAAGGAATAAGCGCACATCAATACCTGCCACAGATATGCCGATATTATGTAAGGTACATGATTTTGTCACTGTCCAACAAGTGTGCGTATATAAAAATGCCTATAAGATGCCTTCCTTATCGGCAATGATTACAATAACCATCCATCTATTTACTCTCGTCATCAAAGACAGAAATTATCATAAAAACAGAATACAATTCTTCGATCGAATTACAGTCGTGCTTTGCATCTGAAAGTGAAACCATCAAAATGATTCCATTGGTCTCAACAACATACGATCCTGAACTTCGTCAGTGGTATGGACCCAGGCGTAAAGATATCTATAGTGAAAATGCAACGCTTGGTGAAGTTATCTGTCATCAGTTGAAGCTGCAACGCAAAAAATTATACAAATTCATGATGGGACAGGTGGAAAAATGACATGCGGAGAATTGTATCGAAATGCACAAATTTTGGCACAACAGCTAATAAAAATGAATATAAATGTGGGTGATATCATTGGTCTGTACGGTGGCAACAGCTCACATGTGGTAACCCTAATTTTGGCCTCATTCTTATGTGGCAGTCCGGTAAATGCTGTCTATGCGGGATTTGATAAGGGTAAGTTGAGGTGGATTATTCTCTATAGAAATTGTATAATTGGTAACTGCTGTCGGTGTATGTATTTTGAATTAATTTTAATATTTTATTTTTTAGATACTTTGCTTGCCCTTTACGGTGTGACTCGTCCCAAAATCATATTCTGCGATATTGAAAATTATGAAAACACCCGATATGTCAGTAACAAATTAAATCTGAACTGTCCAATATTTGTTATGAATGGTTATTTGGAAGGAGTGAACAATATTAGAGAATTGCTGAAATTCGAAGCAGAGACATATTTTAGGTAAGCCCCAGCAAAAATCTAACTGTTGACAGAATAAAAACCTTAGAAGAAATTACAAAATTTGGGCAGCCGAGAATGTTGTTGTCTTACACCGCGAGAAATAGAAAAATCCGTTGCTACATGGGTCTTATATTAAATAGTGTCATAGTTCCAAATATTTCCCGGAGGACCTATGTACCTATATTGAATATTTTTGTGACGGTGTTTTATACTTTGGGAAACTGAAATGTAACAAAAAAGCCTCCAGACGCTTTAAAATACCTAAAAATCTGAAAGAAAAGTTCAACCCTCCAAAAATTTGATTATTTATAGGATTTTCTGTGATAGCATCGGTTTGAAGAGAACCAGGGAAAAAGACTTTGAAATGAAAATATAGGGAATATACCAAAAAGTATATCTATACAAACAATTATACCAAGCCATTGTTGTAAACCATAAAGCACGCCAAATACAAATTTCAGCAATTTTTAATGCAGATTTTTCCCTTAATCGCAAACCCCCAATGCGTGGACCGATATTGACGACGCATGATAGGGTGGGGCATGTGTATAAAATCCCCGAAATACTGAAATTTAGAGGGCAAGGATTTTATTTCGGAAGGTGGGTAGAAGATGCTGCTGCAATATGAAAATTGTCATTGCAGAAAAAATTGTATCCGTACGTCTCTAAAGCGGGATCAATATTGATTATATCATGAAGGAATTACCTGATATTTATACCCTAAACAAGTATGTTGTCAGGGTATTATAGCTTTGTGCAGCCCCAAAAGTTTGTAACGCCGAGAAATATTGGTCCTAGACCCACCTTTAAGTATACCGATTGTCATATCTCGATTATCTGAGTCGATCTAGACATGTGTGTCCGTCCGTCCGTCTGTCTATTATAATTTGTGAACACGATACAGGCCACAGTTTTGGACCAATCTTCACGAAATTTTGCATGTAGGAAGGGGTCGGTAAAGATCGATTAATATTTAATATTATGACCCAAAAATCTCGAATTTTTACATGGAGAAGGGGATTGGGCCAAAGAATAAGCATGCCTGTTTTGATAAAGATCGGGTCAAATAGACCCTGACTTTTGTGTGAAAAATTACAAAATTTGTATTCTATGGCGTATATATTTACTCCTGAAGGACATAGGGCCGAGAAGTTGATAGTATACTCAAGAGGAGTGGTTGGCCTTTAAATCGATACCAATTATATTGTCGTATGTTCTCGGATGTGGGAGTTACACGTAAATATTTACAGGTGCTTACGTATTTAGATATTATTTAGTAACCCATTACCACACTGGAGGGCGGAAATATAGCGCTTATCGCTTTGAAATATTCCCTGAGGTTCCAGTTATGATCAAGTACAACGGCTATAATTTTCGGTGATGATCAGATAATAATTTTGGGATGAATTAGACCGAAAACTTATTTTGTGGTCTTTTTTTTGAGTCGATCTATAGGCCACAATTGATAGCCGAACATCACAACACAACCCACGGTGAAGGGAATCTGTACTGAATATTAATAATATTTGTTGACCTCTAGTCGACCAAAAGGGTGAAATATCGCGAAATATTGCCCAAGCTCAGAATATAGAACCACAGAATGTTAGATTTTCGTGGAAGTTGTGTAGGGTATCATATGGTCGGCCCCGTCCGACTATACTGCTCCGCTCACTATTTGGAGTTAGAATTATATGCCTAATTGAAGTCCGATATAGCTTCGAACCTAACATGTTTGCATGACAATACCTTCCTTCATGCTAAATATTTAAAATGCCGAAAAGGGATAGCTTTCATTATATGGGGGCTAGGGCTAAATGCGGGCTGTCCATTTTCGATCCAGACGTTCTAGTTTTTTACCTTGAAATCCTCCGAATGTAGAATGTTTAAAACATACGGCTAAAGTGGTTAAATCGTCTTAGAATTTCATACTTTGTAGGGTATAAACTGACAATTTCGAGTACAGGATTCGGATTCGGTTGAAAAACACGCTCAAAACCTTAAAAATACCGAAAATTGGTGGTACCGTTATATGGGGGCTACCAGAAAAAGTGAACCAATGTTTATAATATTTAGTGGAGAGATTTGGTATTCAATAAATACCCAATGTGCCTAATTTCAGCGAACTCGGTTAATGCACCCTATCTCAATTCCTTCAGAATTACAACAGATGGACATGTTTAGATGGTCATAGAATTTTATGCTGGTCAAGAATACGAGTATATGAGTTAAAATGGAATGACAAAATTGATATATCTATTTGAATTCGATTAGAGGCTACAGTGATTACAAGAGACAAACGGACACATAATATACTCTCCTCCATACTGTGGTAGAGGGTATAAAAGTGACAAACCTGGTCTTCGAGTATTTCAACTAAAATCTTTTCACTGATATATTCCACATCCACATTATTGTGTGCATTCAAAATAGTTCAAGTAGTTCGGAAGTATACTCTGAAAATCTGAAAAAATAAACATTTCGAGGGTTTTATGGGATAGCATCAGTTAGGAGACAAAACATACTTATTTCGATTTTTGCAAGGAGATATTCTTCCCACGGTGAACTCTAGAACCCAAAAAAATACTCACAAATGGAGTTTTCTGTTAGGATCGATTTGAAGTGGTATGGACCAAAACATTCAAATATAGACTTCTGGTCTTTAAAAACCGGAAGTTAAAGGTGTGCATTCAAAATACCTAAAATCGTTGGGAATTGATTGTCTAAGAACCCGCAGAAGCCAAAAATATATTTATTATAAGTGGAAATAGAGAAAACATACAAATAAAGGTTTCTGGTATTCGACGAACCAAACTAAAATCTAATGAGCGACATTATCCTACACTTTATGCATTTAAAGTACATAAAATCGTTCGGGATTGAATGTCTGAAACACGAAATACAAAATTACAGGAGCATAGGTTGGAAATTTGGGCTAAGGGGTATACCGAAAATGGAGTGCGATGAGAGATATGCCAAACATGGACCTATGTCTAGAATGCTCACCATAATTGCCACAATAACCCAGCCTATTTAGAAGATACGCCTGGAACCATCAGAAACACCTTATACACAAAGGGATAAAATTATATAGGGTCTGAGCAGACCCTATCTAAAATTTTCTACAAAGATGATTTTGTGCTGGGACAATCAGCGGACTGACATATCTGAAGCGACATACAATTTAACTCCAACGAATATTTTGACTTGTTGCACACGGAACGAACACTTCATCTCATGGTGGAGGATATACAAATTGTTAGTAGTCCAAAAATTTTCGAATGTATTTCGTGGGAGCTTATTTTATATATTTTATTTTTCGGGAAATGTTGCTCTGAGCCCATGGAGATTCCAAGCCCAAGCCCAAACTCGTAACGAACCACGGATTTTTATTTCATGTAATGTAAATGTTTTTTCTTTATTTATGTTTATTAAAACTGAAGCTGTTTTTCTGAACAGTACCTACAAGAGATCAATATTGAAAAACTTCTCCGAGGTCTTCTATATCCATGATCTGTTCCACAGATATTTGGTTATATAGTATATACCGTATAAAAATAATAACAACATATATGGTTTCAGTTACCCCTGCTATAATTTACATGGTAATGACACGGCCCTGATAGTTTTTTCTTCTGGTACAACGGGTCCGGCAAAGGGGGTGCTATGTTCTCATCGAGCTTTACTAAATCAGGAGAATGCGTAAGTAGTAACATCTAATCTCATAAAAATTAAAAAAAAATATATATTTTTTCCATATTTCCCACTTTCAGACCACACCTGACAACAGACTCCATTATGTTCGGTTTCAGTCCCATGTATTGGATATCGGGTATATGGACTTTGATCACCTCCCTACTCAATGTGTGTTGTCGTATTGTTACCGAGAACAATTTTACGCCCAACTATTTTCTTCATTTGGTGGAGAAACATAAAATCACTCATGTCGTAATGAATGCCAGTCATTTGGAATTGGCAGAAACAAGATAAACTAAAAACTTTGAAAATCACCAAAGAATATTACCAGCATCGAGTGAAAGACCTGGTTTAATGGTCGCCTATGGTATGTCCGAGCTAGGTGGTTTGACAACAATGAATGGCATCGCGGCAAAGCAACGTAAATTGGGAACAATTGGACAGTTGGTTAGTAATCGTGTCGTACGTATTATCGATGAGGAGGGCAAACCCTTATGTCCCAATCAGATGGGCCAAATTTGTGTGCAATTACCACAAAATTTTTGGAAAGGTTATTACAACAATGAAGCTGAGACAAGAAAAGCTTTGCGGGGCAATTGGTTGCATACCGGCGATATTGGCCATTTCGATTCTGAAGGGTTTCTCCACTTTTGCAGTCGTGGCAATGATGTCTTCAAATCAAATAATTTTCAAATTTATCCACAAATTTTAGAGGATTTAATTTTGAAATTGCCGGGTGTCTATGATATCTGTATTGTGGGTATACCCGATATGGTGGCTACGAATTTAACAGCTGCCGCTATTGTCCAAATACGTGATGCCGAGGTCGTCGGTTGACCGCAAAAGATATAGATGATCATGTCAAAACCAATATTGCCGAAATGTATTATCTGCGTGGTGGAATTTATTTCTTTGATGCTCTACCAAAATCTGCAACTGGAAAGATGTTAAGAGCAAAATTTTTGGAAATGGTTCTGGCAAAAAAGGGGCAGAATCGTTTTTAGATATTAAAAATATTATTTAAGAATATAATTTTTAAGAAATTTTAATTTCAAAAGTAAATCACTTTTTTCAATACTTTTAATTGGTGGTATTTATCTGTTGATATGATTCTCTATAAAATTTCGATTTGTAAAAATATAGTTTTGAGGGATCTTCTATAGGTATTTAAAGGATAGAGATCGCAAAGTTAAGATATATCTTTGAAATTTTGCACTTACATTGCTACTCTATGTACAATTTGTACTGCAGATGGGTTAGTCGGTCCACGTTTTGGGGACTGCCTAAAATTCGAAATTTCGAAAGTGTTAGCCAACAAAGTGGAGATTATTTCGGGGAGGAAAATTGTGAATATGGACTATGTCATATAAAGGACCAGCCTCTTTTTTTTTGTATTTTTAAGATTTTAGACGAATTTCCTCGTAGGATAAACATATTATTGCAGGAGATTTTCGATATTGTTTCATGTATTAAAATGTTTCCACCTCATACAGAGACTAGTTTGTTCACATATCATGAAGCTGATATTCGAAATTTTTTGCAAAGAAATTGTTTACCTACCAAGAACCCGGAATGACAAATCAGTGTTAAGAATGGGAAATTCGGCAACACAGTACTTTACTTATATGTGGACAGAGATACTTAGAGTACGTTGGTACCTACCTTATGGTTTTACCCCACGGTGCTGTAAACCAGTTAATACAAAGCGTCAACCAACGCCCCACACCGAAATGCAGGTACCAATCGATCACACGTATTTGGACGCGATCACCTCCTTGGATGAGGAACGGAGCCCATCTAAAACTCCTGCCTTTCTATGGATCAGGCACCCGGTTTTAATGCAACTCCACACCGAGCCACAGCTCTACCCGCGATTTGGGTATAAACCACATCCAGCACGATGCTCCCCGAAGGGCCGACACCAACTGTCAGGCTAGATCCGCCCACCAATGGGGCCCTGACACCCGTGCAACCGAAACCTTCGGTCAGGTTCATAGCCAAAGCTATTACCAGTAGAACCCCAAACAGTTCGAGACTGGTCACTCACAGACTATAGCCTCTGCCCAGCTTCTTAGCAAAAAGCTACTACCATTAGGACTAACATGCAGGCTCTCTACAATGAAACAATTGCTGAAAGGGGATACAATGCAAAAGTGACCACCAACATCACACGATATTGGTAGCCACCATGCATCTCACCCCTCCCAACAACAGTTCCACAAGCCTGCTAGTCCGGGAATGGTCCCCCACAGACTAAACTCTGCACGTTTTCGTAGCCGAAGCTACTACCATTTGAACTAGTTGTGTGGACAAATGATACGAGCTCAATCACAATTTCTAAAGCGATATAGTTTTTTGCGCTGATAAGTATGTATACTAGGTGGGGTCGCCGACGAATATTTCGATTGGAGGTCTCTAAAGTATATTTCGAGAATGTCAAACTACACGGGTGGCCAAAATTAAAGCAACTAAAATTTCAAAGTTCATGGCCAAATAACTTTTTCAAAAATAACGATATCGTGTATCAGGGAATTTTGATTCTTTGATCCATGCTTTAGACTATTTTTGTTTGAAGCAAGAATCTTGGAATTTGGGATGAGGGTCACTCTGGGTCCAAAGGTGTCACATAAGGCTGTTTTTTTTTTTTGGAAATCCGTAGTAGAACGGCACGAAAAGTGTACAAAATTTGGTACAATTTAAATTGTGGGTGCAGTGATATAATTAGAATCCTGAAATCGGGAAATACAATTTTCATTGGTTGTAGTTTTGAAATATACATATGAAGTTTTGAAAGAGTGTACTAATTTGTACTAAATGGTTCCAAATATGGATTTGGTTGAACCGTTAAAGCTGGAATATTGAAATTTGAATTTAGGATCACTGTTGGGGTGTAGGATTTGGCTATGTAAGAAGTTTTGGAAATTCATACTAATGTGTTATAAATGGTATAAATTTTGGTGAAGCGATCGAGCTGGAATCCAGAAATTAGGAAATAAGGTTTCTATTGGATTTATATTAATGTTTACTAAATTTGGCAAAATTATGATTTGGGTGAAGCTATAGAGCTCGAATTATGAAATTTGAAATTAGTTTTGGAAATAAGTACTACAAGAATACGAAAGTTTATAAATGTTACCAAAATTAGTATAGAGCTAGATTTGTGTTGCGATGAGAATTGGTGTGTTGTGTTGAAACATGGAGGTAGTTTTGGAAAGACGTACTATAAGATAACAAAGGAACTAAACAGTACTGACATTTGAATTATGGTCAATATTGGTGTGTATGTTGATTAGCTTTAGACATACATGTAGTCATTGTGACGTCACATGTTTGAAGAAAATATTGATAATTCCATGAAGACAAGTAACAACCATTGAATGTAAATATTTTTACTGGTCATTATTGACAGTACACATGAACGCCCATTTTTAGAGGTGATTATATTATTCCTGGCAAAAAAAAATCATGACAACTATGTATAAGCAAATACTATGTTATTGATAAAAAAATTAACATATACAGATATACATGTGTGCGTATTTCCTTTCTTATCAAAAATGTCTTTGAATATCTCTATACAATTGAATTACAGTATCAATCTACGTCTTAACGTGAAAACATCCAAATTATTCCATTGGCCTCAACAACACATGATCCTGAACTTTGTCCACAAGAATGCAATGCTTGGTGAAGTGTTCTGTCATCAGCTGAAGACAAAATTTAATTCAAATTCATTGTATCGAAATTCTCACAAATTTGGCAAATTAATATAAATGTTACTGCCATCATTGGTCTGTACAGTGGCGACATCCCCCTAATTTTTGACTCGTTCTTACGTAGAAGTCCGGTTAATGCTGTCTATGCGGGATTTGATAAGGGTAAGACAAAACTAAGTTCGCTTTTGAAATTAGTGGAAGAAGTCGATATACATATGTATGTATATATTTTGAATTAAATTTTTTCAGTTTTCAGATACTTTGGTGACCTTAGATATATATAACTCGCCCAAAAAAAAATATTCTGCGATATTGAAAATTACCAAAATACAGTTTATGGCAATAACAAATTAAATTTGAGATTTGCGGAAGTTTAAAGGAGAAACATATTTTATTTTTTGGTGAGTCCCAACACAAATATAACAGCCTACTGATTTAGAAACTTAAAAAAATTGCAAAGTCTGGTAAGCCGGAAATTTTGTTATCCTCCACCTTAAGAAGTAACACAAGTTAAACCAATGTTAAGTTCGGCCTGGTCGAACTTTGTATATTTTGAATGCCATCCTCATGGTGGAAGGATGGCATTCAAAATATGTAAAATTAATGGGGGCTCCTAGTAGAAATCTTATATTATGATGGGAAATTTAATACATAAAAAGAGGTGAGAAAAAGGATGGTTACCTTTTATGGATGGTCTAGCGTTTATGGGGCTATACCAAAATGAGGATCAATGTTGATGATTTTGGGTTGTGAAATTTGACGGCCAATGAGAATACAAATTACAGTAATTTCTATTGAAAAACATGTCCAAAATCCCCACAATACCGAATATTGAAGGTACCTCAAAAACTTAGGTCAGTATTAGTAATGCCTGTTATGGAGATGTGCTATACAATATGAACCCAACATACTAAAATACAGCCAATTTGATTGAAAAACGTATCCGAATATTGGGGAGTACCGTTATATGGGGGCTACTCTGAGTCAATATAAAAAAATTTTGGTACGAATTTGTGTTGTTCAATGAGAACCCAAAATACCAAATTACATCCAGTTTGATTGGAAAACGTTTCAAAAATTCCCAAAACACCGAATATTGGTGGTACCATTATATGAGGGCTACCCTGAAACTTGGATCAATATTCATAATTTTTTATACGCCGATGTGCTATACAATGAGAACCCAAAATACCAAAATACAGCCAATTTGATTGAAAAACGTGTCCAAAATTCCCTAAATACCGAATATTGGGGAAACCCGATATATGAGAGCTACACTAAAACCTGGACCGATATATCCCATTTGCAATACCAATCATACTAGCAATATATGTCTTTAATATGGTGATCTCTATCGTGATTTCCACAGACGGAGAGACAAACGGTCACGCATACACATAAACATACACACCAATATTGCCCATAATTAAAATGTTAGTACTATTTAGTACCTTTGTTATCTTATTGTACGTGTTTTCAAAACTACCTCCTTGTCTCAACATAACACACCAGTTCTCATCGCAACACAAATCTAGCTCTATACTAATTTTGGTACTATTTATTACCTTTCGTACTCTTGTAGGACTCATTTCCAAAATTCAAAATAATTCAAAATTTCATAATTCATTCCAAATCTTCATTCCAAATCTAAATTTTATCAAATTTAGTAGGATTTAGTGCACATTAATATAAATCCAATACAAAAACATATTTCCTAATTTCAGGATTTCAGACTCATCGCTTTACCAAATTTTATACCATTTATAACACATTGTATACATTTCCAAAACAAACAATTCTACACCCCAACAGTGATAATAAATTCAAATTTCAAGATTCTAGCTTTATCAGCTCACCCAAATCCATATTTGGTACTATTTAGTACACATTAGTATAATCTTCCAAAACTTCTCGCATCTTCTTATGAATTTTTTCAAAACTACGTATATTATACAACCAATGAAAATTGTATTTCCCGATTTCAGGATTCCAGTTGTATCGCTTCAACCGCAATTGAAATTGTACCAAATTTAATACACATTAGCATGTATTTCCCAAAATTTCGTACATAGCCCAATCCTACACCCCAACAATGATCCTAACTCAAAATTTCAGGATCTCAGCTCTATCAAATTTTTGCAAAGTTAGTACAATTTAGTACCTATAAGTGTGCATTTCAAAAACTATATCCATACCCCAATCCTACTCTCCAACAGGAACCTTATTTCCAAATTTCAGTATTTTAGCTCTATCGCTTCACCCAAATACACATTTGGTACTATTTAGTACACATTAGTACAAATTTCCAAAACTTCCTACATATCCCAATCGTACACCTTAACAGTGTACCTTACTCTAATGACCCTCAATCTAAATTTCAGAATTCTTGTTGCACCGGTTACTCAAATATAACTGGTACCACATTTAGTCCTTTTCGTGTCGTTCTAGTACACATTTAAAAAAAACGGTAAGGAAAGTGGTAAAGTCGGACTGGGCCGACTATATGATACCCTCCACCACTTTGGGTATATTCTACATATGTACCCTAACATATGTAGAATATATCTGAACCGATTTCAGGGAAACTTGCCAGAGACTAATTTATATTACATCAGTACGTTGTGTCAATCGACCTAGCTATGGATCTGTTCACGAAGCTTAGCAACATCATTCTAGACTTAATACCAAAATTCGTGCAAATCGAAAGATATATAGGGACTTTGGTGCACCAATTACCTTATATCGGATGAAAATATATATGGGAGCTATATCTAAATCTGAAATTTTCAGGAAACTTAACACATGATTCGTCCTTGAGCCAAATAAGTGACCTATGCCAAATTTCATCCAATTCAGATCATAAATGCGACTTGTACTTTGTTTACAATTTAAGATGGACAGACAGACAGACAGACAGACGGACATGCATAAATCGACTTAAAAAGTGATTCCATGCATATTCTAAAAAGGAACCATGTGTCTATCTCGTTTCCTTTTACCTCTTAGAAACATATGCACAAAGACATAATACCCTGTACCACAGTGTGGTGAAGGGTATAAAAACATCCTTATCTGACACCTTTGAACCAAGATTGAACCTCATCCCAAATTTCAATGCTTCGGCGAGGAAGCATTTTGTCCTGTGGGAAACAGAAATGAAATATAAACCAAATATAGAATTTTATGATATGGGGTCGGTTAGAAATGAAAAAGGACAAAATACGCAAACATCGATTTCTGCAAAGAGATCTCTTAACTTCGGAAAAATCAAAAACTAAAATATAGTGAGCGATATTTTCCTCCACAATACCTGAAATCGGTCGGGATTGTATGACGGGAAGCTGTTTCCTTTGCAAAAAATATCAAAAATGGAACGTAAGCTATGGTCTTATGTATGAAATTGAGCCGATTTATGCGGAATACATGACCAATGATTGCATCCTGTGTCCGGTACACAAAAAAGGAACAAGCCGATATGCGTGCTGTGTGAACGACTGAAGCCAATGGTCGATGACATTATTGGACCATACCAATGCGGCTTCAGGCATGACAAATCCACCATTGACCAGTTCTTCACTCTGCGCCAGATCATGGAAAAGACCACGAAAACTACAAAGCCGCATTCGGCGGCCCAGTCCCAATGGGTACTTGCACAAACAGATGAGACAGCTCCTAGAGTGTGTGAGAGAAAAACTCTTCGAAAGATCTATGGACTGATCTGCGTTGACGGTGAATATCGCCGTCCAATGATCTATTCTCGGACATCGACATAGTCAGACGCATCGAGCTGCAGCGCCTATGTTGTTTAGGTCATGTTGTGAGATGGATGCCCCAGCACAAAAGGCATATAAAAACGAGCCAACTGATGGTACACCCAGAAGGGGAAGGTCACGAAAGATCAAGTGGCAGACAACATCTCGGAGCATGGTCTTTCAAATTGGAAAATCTGCGCAAGGGCCGACGCGTTTGGAAATCATTTTTAATATATAGGGTCTTTGGTACACCAATTACCTTAAATCGGAAGAAAAAACATATGGGAGCTATATCTAAATCTGAACCGATTTTCACTAAACTTGGCAGACATCATTCTCGATTTTATTCATAACTCTGCGCCAAATTTCGTGCACATCAAACGATTTTCAGGGACTTTAGTGGACTATTTACCTAAAATCGGACGAAGCTATATATGGGAGCTATATCTAAATCTGAACCGATTTTCTCAAAACTTTTCACACATCATTCTATACCTAATTTAGTACGCTGTGCCAAATTTCGTGCAAATCGAAAGATATATAGGGACTTTGGTACACAATTAATCTTAAATCAGACGAAGATATATATGGGAGCTATATCTAAATCTGAACCGATTTTCACGAAACTTGACATCATTTTAGACCTTATTCATTACGCTGTACCAAATTTCGTGCAAATCAAAAGATTTCCAAGGACATTAGTCGACTATTTACCTAAAATCGGGCGAAGCTATGTATGGGAGCTATATCTAAATCTGAACCGATTTTCTCAAAACTTCATCATTCTAGACTTAATTCAATACTCTATGCCACAATTATGTGCAAATCAAAAGATTTTCAGGGACTTTAGTGGACTATTTACCTAAAATCGGGCGAAGCTATATATGAGAGCTATATCTAAATCTGAACCGATTTTCACGAAACTTTGCACATATTATTCTACACTTAATTTAGTACGTTGTGCCAAATTTCGTGCAAATCGAAAGATATATAGGGACTTTGGTACACCATTTACCTTAAATCGGACGAAGATATATATGGGAGTTATATCTAAATCGTAACCGATTTTCGCGAAACTTTGCACACATCATTCATGACCTTATTCATTACGCTGTGCCAAATTTCGTGCAAATCGTGCACCATTTACCTTAAATTGGACGAAAATATATATGGAGCTATATATAAATCTGAACCGATTTTTCCCAATTTCAATAGGGTTCGTCCTTGGGCCAAACAAATGAGCTGTGCCAAATTTCATCCAATTCGGATCATAAATGCGACCTGTACTTTGTTTACAATTCAACATAGACAGACAGACGGACGGACGGATATGCATAAATCGACTTAGAAAGTGATTCTATGCATATTCTCAAAAGGAACCATGGGTCTATTTCGATTATTTTTGCCTGTTACACACATATGCACAAAGACATAATACCCTGTACCACAGTGTGGTGAAGGGTATAAAAATACCAGCCTCAGTTCGTCCTCTGATATAACCTAACTTCTCCAAAATGCTCGGCATCAAATTTGACAGCATTTTTTGTCGTCTTCTGCTTAAAAGTAGGATCTATGTTACTAGTGGTGTAGGGCATTAAATTTTCTAAGTCAACCTGCCTTTCCAAATTCTCTAAAACCTCTATAAGATCTTTCAGATTAGCCCCGTAATCAAAATCGTTGTTCGAGTGGCGATAGCCAATTGTTTCAATTATCATCAGAACTATAAACGATGGTTTCATGAAATATTTGCTCTCGTCAACAGTTTTCTTGATTAGAGCGCCACAACAAACCCCCACGTAGAATAGCTAAAAGCGCCCTCCGTCCCGCTTATTAATTGTCATGCCTTTTGTTCTCCATGCATATCAGTCGTAATTCAAAACCCATAGTAAACAATGAATGCTGTGTCATACATACATACAAACACTACGTGTATTCACTTATAATCATTTTGAAAATGCGAAAAAAACATTTTTTACTTTAAATGGTTATCTAATCACTTGGCCGGGTGCAATTTCGTTGTTGCATCATAAATGAGCGTGGAGCTCACAGACGGGTAGCCATAAACCGAAATGAAAAATTCCAAAACTTGTTTGTTTCAAAATTTGACGGCAATTTTTTTATTTTGATAATTTTGTTAATTTTTCTATTCTTGGTCTTATCAATGCATTTAATACAATGTCTTTGTATCTTTGGAACATACAAAGAACCCCCAAACATTTTTGTGACTTAATTGACATTCGGACTAGCTACTGAACAGTTCACAACTATCAAAGCGTCTATAAGTACCGAACAACTAGTATGTATCCGCTAACGGCTACCTATTATGATCCTGAAGAAAAAATATGGTCAGGACCTCAACGTAAGGACTTGTACAATAAGGATATAACATTGGGCGAAGTTATTTTCGATGTGCTCAGCAAATGGCCCGAGAAAACAATACAAATACACGATGTTAGCGGTGAAAAATTGACGGGACAACAATTGTTGGATCATTCGAGGATATTGAGTAAAAATCTTATGAAATTGGGTCTTCGGAAGGGAGATGTTATTGGTCTCGTTGCCAGTAATTGGACGCATGTCACGACGCTGATGTTATCCTCGTTTTTATGTGGGACCCCAGTAAATGCCTTGTATCCGGGGTTTGATAAAGGTAAGTCAAGGGAGAGAGATAATTCAATTCTGTGATATTTAAAGTTTTTTTTTTGAAACATTTATTTCCAGATAATGTGTCTATGGTCTATAAGGTCACTCAACCCAAAATATTATTTTGTGATGCTGAAAATTATAAAACTGCTCTGCAGGTCAATGATCAATTGAAATTGAATGCACCGGTATTTGTAATGAACGATAATGATGTGGTGGAAGGTGTTGGCCATATCAAGGATCTGTTGAAGGATGAAAATGACGGGAGTGATAATAAATATTTAAGGTGAGATGTTATGTGTTGATATCGTACTATAAACATAGCTGGCTTGTGACAGAACATTTGTTCCAAAAGCCGAACTTGAATAAAGATTTCCAGGCGCGTCGGCCTTCTGCGCAGCTCTTCCAATTGGAAAGAACATGTTCCGAGATGTTGCCTTCCACTTGATCTTTCCATCGAATTCGCTGCAGCTCGATACGTCTGACTATATCGATGGCCGAGTATAGATGGTATAACTCAAGATTCATTCTAGAGCGATATTCATCGTCGACGACCATAGGTGTTACGGAGAATTTTTCTCTTAAATACTCTAAGAGCTGCCTCATCTGCTTGGGCAAATACCCATGTTTCAGATCCATATAATAGCACGGGTAGTATGAGCGTCTTGTAAAGTGTGAGTTTGATCTGGCGGGAGGTTGCATTGCAATTGAGTTGCTTACTCAGACCATAGTAGCATCTGTTAGCCAACACTATCCTTCTTGGAATTTTTAAAAACTATTGTTATTAGTTTTATTTGTGGCGATACCGAGGTATATAAAATCGCTCACTACTTTGAAGCTGTAGTTTTAAATTCCACAGTTGATCCAAGTCTACTGGATGTCTTGCGCGTTGATACCATCAGCGTGGTATCAGTCCACCTTTGGCAGACTTCTCAGTTTGTGGCTTGTCACCGCTTGCAATGTTCGACCCATTATGTCAATGCCATCGGCGTAGGCGAGTAGCACATGCTGTTTGGTGTAGTTAGTGCCACCTTTGCCTCTCGTATTGCCTTTTCTACCAGGATGTTATAGAGGTCACACGTGTCGTCGTCACCTTGTCCTTTCCGACTTTGACTACTGATTTTGTGCCACAGGCATGACTTTCAACACCTCTGAACGGATATGGCGGTCAAATTCAGCTTTATAGTCGACGAATAGGTGTAATGTGTCGATGTGTTTTTTGCGGGTTACTGTGAAAATCTGGTCTAAAGCGGATTTGTCAGTTGTGAAACCGCATTGATTAGATCCGATAATATTATTGGCCGTTGGATTCGGTCATTCACACCGCACGGTGGATAGTAATTTATATGCGATGGGAAGCATATTTATTCCTCTATAGTTGCCACAAATCGACTTGTATCCTTTTTTTCTGCACGGGACACAGGATTCTCAGGTTCCAATTATTGGGCATGCATTTCTATATGGAAATTGTACTAATCAGCTGGTGCATGCTCCTTACCAGCATCTGACCACCGGTCTTGAATAGTTCGGCTGATAACCCATCGGCACCAGCTGCTTTAGTATTCTTCAGCCGGTTGATTGATATTCTGACCTTATCTTGGCTAGGCGATATACACTCTTTTTGGTTCTGGGGTATCTTCATCACTGCCACTATTTGATACCAGAAGCTCTTCGAAACTCTCTTTACAAGTCCTCAACACGCTCTGTGTATCTGTCACCAGGTTTCCATGTCCATCGCTACTGGAGGATTTGCCTGCACCAAAGCCTTCGGTTTGATATTTTACACATCGGTAAAATTTTTGGACTTCATTCTGACTCCTACACATCTCGATTTGCTCACGCTCACGTTTTTCTTGTTCTTTCTTCTTTTTTTCTGAAAATACGTTTCACCTCTCTCCTTTTCTCCCGATAATTTTCCTCGCATTAGGTGTTGCTACTGTTTGCAGGGTTCTTCTATACGCTGCGCTTTCACCTCAGTAGCACTACGACACTCCTGATCGCAGCATATGTTTCTTGATGGTGGTCTCTGTACCCAAGGGTTGTTTTGCTGCAGTTTATAGGGAGTAGACAATTCTTTGCCATAGTGCTTAATTCATATCGGGACAATAAGTGCTTTCGTTAAGCAGGCGAATAAGTTGAGCGGAGTAGGCCACTGCTACCTGTTGTGTTTGCATCTTTTTAACGTCGATTTTTCGTGTTGGGTCAGATCACACCTTTGCTGCTACATTAAGGCGAGTGCGAACCTTGGATGCTACAAGGTAGTGGTCCGAATCGATATTCGCTCCTCGAATCGATCGAACGTCTAAAACACTGGATGAATGCCTTCCGTCTATCACAATTTAATCAATTATCATTTGATTCCTCATTGCTTAATCGGAAGAAATCCATGTGGCCTTTTGTATATCGAGATGCTTGGATTTGGTGCTGCTAACTACCATTTTTTCTTGCTGCAGCGTCACAATCAACCTCGTGCCGTGGTCTGATGTTTCTTTATGTAGGCTGAATTTTCCGACTGTGTGGCCAAAAATATGTTCCCTTCCGATTTTTGCCTTAAAATCTCCTATCAGAATTTGAATGGTATGGCCAGTGAAGCGGTCATATGGTGTTTCGTTGTGTCTTTTGTCTGATCATCTGTGTCTTCCGTCTGAGCATGGTCGCAAATAAGAAAAGAACTTCACTTTTATACGGATTATAACAATTCGCTCATCTTCTGGAGTGAATCTAGAGAATCTTATAGAAAAAACTTTATGGTGAACATTGGGAAAAGGGGGTCGAAAAGAGCGCTTCAGAGAATCGACTGAGGGTTAACGTATTTGAAATATCAGTAATATTGCCGAAGACACCATATGCCTAGAATGCAAAGATTTCAGGAGATCCTAATCCGAATATTTTCAAATGTTTCTATTTTTCTATCATATTTTTTTTTTTTTTTTTGAATTTTCTGATAACTTTTTTTATGTTGCACAGTGTTATTGATCCTTTTCTTAAAATATATATATTTTTTATTTCAGATTTCCCTGCAAAGATTTGTCGGGTGATGACACCGCCATGCTATTGTGCTCATCCGGTACAACAGGAGCGCCAAAAGGTGTGAAATGCTCACATCGGGCATTGCTCAATCAAATTGTATTGTATGTAGACGTTTTCTCGAAGAAATACTCATCTTTAACATATCTAATACCCATCCCCTCTGCCATTAAAAACATTTTTCAGCTTAACTCTCAAACCCACCTCCGTAACCTTTACATTTAGTGCCATGTATTGGGCATCGGGTTTATGGACTCTGGTAGCCTCCCTAATAACTGGTACCTTGCGCATTATGACCACACGACCATATACACCCGAATATTTTCTACAATTGGTTGATCAATACAAAATTACCCATGTCCTTTCTAATAATCAATATATGGCCGAATTATCCCTATACGAAGATGTGCCGAAAATACAAAAATGTCTGGCATCCATAGATACCATTTTGGTGGGTGGTGCCAAAGTCCTACTGAGTCTTCAAGAGAAAATGAATGATATTTTATCGATTAACCCGAAAAGGCCTGGTTTTGCTGTGGCCTATGGTATGTCCGAGCTATCGGGTATGTTAACCATCAATGGTGGCTATGTAAGTGATCGCTTGATCGGTGCCGAGGGTAAAATGTTGGCCAACAAAAAGGCACGAATTCTCGATAAACAGGGTCAGCCATTGGGTCCCAATGAACATGGTGAAATTTGTATATACTCCCCTTACACCTGGTTCGGTTATCACAACAATGAGGAGGCGACACGCAAAGCTATGCGCGATAATTGGTTATATACCGGAGATATTGGTTACTTCGATGAGGAGGGTTTCCTGCATGTCTGCGCCCGAGATAATGATGTCTTTAAATCAAGAAATTTTCAAATTTATCCACAATTAATTGAAGAGGTGATCAGTCGTTTGAATGGCATTTCAGAAGTTTGTGTCTGTGGTATTCCCGATACAATTGCCACACATTTAACGGCATGTGCTGTGGTACGTGCATCGACGGAGGAGGGGAAGAAATTAACTACGAAGGAAATTGAGGATCAAGTCAAAGCCAATATGGGTAGTATGTATCATTTAAGTGGTGGTGTGTATTTTGTGGACGCCATACCTAAGACCGGATCGGGTAAAGTTCAACGAGCCAAAGTTTTGGAGTTGGTGATGAAAATGAAAGAGGGCAAGGAAAAGAATACAAGGGGAATTTAATTTAGTTTGTAATGAAAACCTACCTGTCAAGAAATATTAAATTATTTATTAAAAAAATAATAAATTGTTATTTAGAAAAATAGATGCATGTTCTTTATTATAACGCTTTGATATGTAACTCCACCTCTGTGCTGTAAAACGGGTGATCATTTGTGGGTAAGGTATTTCCGAAATTGATCATATCTTGGTAAAACTATTAGGAGGTATATAGTCTCAATCAGTGGTGGGCATAGCTAATTTGAGAGTAAGTGTATTAGAGCGTAACTGAGAAAAAGAGAACAAATGAAAGCATGTTTTTAACCATTTAGGCTAACACAGGATTTTTTGAAGTTTTGAACATCAATGGTCTACATTAATTTTAATACTCAGTTACCTCTTTTAGGTTCAGTAAAAATGTTTGCCAAGCTTGGATCAGCTGCAATTCTCTATTAATCTCATATAAGATTTAAAAACATTGACACTTTGTCAGGGAGGTTACAGAAGGATTGTTCATATGTGTCCAATATTCAAACATAATCTTTGTTTAGTAAATGAGCCTCTTGAGAGTCGGCCATCTTCCCCACGGATCCGTCACTTTTCTTACTTTGTATTTCTCCGTCCGCGATTTTTGTGGCTCCTTTCTAACCAACCTTGCTTTCCCATTCTAGAAGCCAAATTAATGGCTTTTTCCCCTCCAAACCTTCCCTTTCCAGTCTAGGAGAAGACAGTGTTGGGACTTACTTAAATACTGGATGGACATGTCCAAACCTACCACAAAAAAAAGCCTTCTACTTATTCGGGCTGTCCCAAGCTCTGGCGAAGACCGTAGCCTTTTGTAATTGAGGAATGCCTATTTTCTCGGTAATGGATATAATTATTGCTACTACTTTCCATTTGGCTCTATGCTCTGTGACAGTAGAAACACGCAAGGCGAGAGAGAATTATCGGGAGAAACGTATTTTCAGAAAAAGAAGAAAGAACAGAAAAACGTCAGCGTGAGCAAATCAAGATGTACAGGAGTCTGAATGAAGTCCGGAAATTTTACCAAGAAAGCTTTGGTGCAGGTACATCCTCCTGTAGAGATTAAGAAAGAAGAAAGTCTCCTCCCCTCGACTGAAGCCAATTGTCAATGATATTATTGGACCTTATCAATGCGGCTTCAGATCTGGTCAATCCACTATAGACCAGATTTTCACACTGCGACAAATCCTGGATTCACGAAACATTCCATCTATTCGTCGACTATATTGTTGTACTCGGCATTCCTGCAAAATTATTACGGCTATGCAGGATAACGTTAACTGACACAAAGTCAGCAGTTACAGTCGAAAAGGACCTCTTGGAACCCTTCAATACCGAACGAGGATTCAGACATACTGCTGGAAAAGGTCATACGAGATGCAAAGGTGAACAGATATGACACTCTGTACACCGAGCAACACATGTTACTCGCCTACAACGAAGACATCGACATAATCAGTCGAGCATTGCGAGCTGTAACAGCCACCTTTGAACTAATTGAGGAGCATTCTGCCAAAGTGGGTTTTGAAATTCGGAGGAGAATAGTGTTGGCTAACAGATGCTAAGTAAACAATTTAGAAATAAGGCCACCTCTCGCCAGACCAAACTCACATTCTACAAAACCGTGAATATGATGCACGCAAGCAGATTAGACAGCTCTTGGAGTGTTTGAGAGAATAATGCTCGGAAAGATATTTGGGCAGATCAGCGTCGACGGTGAATATCGACGTCAAATGAACCATCAGTGGTACCATCTATTCTCGGACATCGCCGTATCGAGCTACAGCAACTACGGTGGCTAGGTCATGTTGTGAGAATGGATGAGGATGCCCCCAGCTCAAAAGGCACATAAAAGCAAGCCAACTGATGGCTCACGCAGAAGGGGAAGTCCACAAATTCGATAGAAAGGTCAAGTGGAAGTTCGGTTCGAGACTCGGCAAATGTTCTGTCTCAAGCTAGCTAAATAAGTAAGTAATGGCGCACTACTCTGACAACAGTGCATAGCAGGGCTGTAGTGCCTCCTAGAGTCTTTAGAATAAGATGACGGTTGCTTATCAACTTTTGTCCCCCACTTCCCCTTTCATTAATTTCGGATTCCCCGTCATTGCGGAAGATTCCAATGCAATAATATAGTGATCAGCGAAGCTATCAGTTATCCCGGCCAATGAATTCTCGTGTTTGACTTTGTTTTGGCTCTGCCTTCTCTTCATATCAGCCGAAATGAAGCTCTTTTTTGGGGGGTTTGTTAATCGTCTGCTCTTTCGGAGACCTAAACCTCTTCACAGCTTCGGAAGAAGTGGTGGAGAGGTCGGACTTATCTTTCTGTTTCAGTTTGCTGTTCGCGCTGGTTCTTCCGGTTCTTCCTGGCCAGTTTTCGTCATTGAGCTTCCTCTACGATCCCATCAGATTGCTCGCTTCTCCTTGAAATTTGGGTATGAGTCGCCACCTGTATCAGATAGATTTCTCGATATTGCTCTTCACCTTCGACTGCATTGAGTTATTTGGGCTCTGCATTGTAACTTTATTCTTCTTCGCACTTTCCGTGTTTGGTTTTAGGGCAACGCCTTCTAATTAATTTTTATTCCGCAGGGACAAGAATCTAAATGAGGTCTATAAAACAATCACATTTCAGAATTAACTGATTTTAATAGAAAATTCCACATTACTTCTATACGCCACCTTAGAGGGCGCCTGGTAGGAGGATGGCAACTCATTCGAAGCTGATTTAAGATTGAAGGAAATATGTTTTGAAACCTGTTTTGACATTGAACCCGATGACGACCTGGTTGCATTTTAAGTATTATGAAGATCCCATTCAAGTTTTTATTCGCGTACTCAAATTGTATATATTTTTAAAAAATCCGTGAAAACATATGTGTGAGAATATGAAAAAATAAAAATCAGCCTTTTTTTAAAAAATATATTTTTTTAAATCCACGGAATTTTAGACATTTCGGTTAGAAACTGGGACTGGACATATTTGAACATGAATTTTTTAAAGAATATTTTTTGAAGGACCTTCAGAGCTCTAGACGTCGATTTTTTAAATATCTTCTGAGCTCTAAGCGTTGAATTTTTAAGGAATTGAGCGGCCTCTTATATATGAACTGTGTCAAAACATGCACATAGTTTGAAAACATTCCTTTCCATCCCTCGTTCTTGTTCACAATTTTTAGATTCTACTTACTACTCCGTCTTATTTATTTCTATAATTCAAACATTTCAAACATACAATATTTACAGCCTGGTCCCATCCTCTCATATTTCAAATTCCAACCACTACGCCCCTGCCGGACGTTGTTAGTTTATTAGTTTATAAATTTTATTATTATTGCAATTCCAGTTGCATATTCTCATGCATGATAGCTGGCATTTTGTTGTTGTTATTCTTTTTACATTTTTTTTTTTTGCGCTGAGGAGAAGCAGCGTGTCGTTGTAAAACCGAACAATGACAACAATACCAACAACACCTTGTATAACAATTAAAAACAAACAAAACTATAATGAAAGTCATCTTCCGAACTCAATGCCGCCCCAGTGCCTTATTTTCAATGCCGTCTCGGCGGCACTTCAGTTGTGGGCGAACTTAACATTGAAACGGTAATGTTGCATCCATTAGCGGCCACCTATTACGATCCGGAACAGAAGATATGGTCTGGACCACAACGCAAGGATTTGTATAATAACGAAATAACCTTGGGTGAAGTCATCTTTGAAGCTCTCGCAAAACACCCACAAAAAATTATACAAATTCATGATGTCAGTGGTGTGAAGTTGACGTGCGCAGAGTTGCTGCATCACGCCAAGGTACTGGCCAGGAATCTGCTGAAATTGGATTTAAAAGTTGGTGATGTAATTGGCTTATATGCCAGCAATTGGACACATACAACGACATTGATGTTGGCCTCATTTCTGTGCGGAACTCCGGTAAATGCACTGTATCCAGCATTTGATAAAGGTACGCTTGGGGGGGATGCTTTTTATGGAATGTCAGGATAATATTGTATTTATTTTTTGTTTCCAGAAAATGTGGCCTTGATCTATAAGATAACACGTCCGAAATTGATATTCTGTGATGTGGAAAATTATCAAATTGCCCAAGAAGTGAATCGTGAATTAAATTTAGATGCCTTAATTTTCATAATGAACGATAATGAAGGAGTCAAGGGTTTGGGTCATATTAAGGATCTGTTGCTTGCAAAGGAGTCCAGCGAGGATCAATATTTTAGGTAATAAATATATACGTTGATTATTTGCAAGAATATTTTTTCAAGGATCTTCAGAGTTCTAGGCGTGGATTTTTAAAGAATATTTTTTCAAGGACCTTCAAAGCTTTAGGCGTGGGTTTTTTAAAGAATATTTTTTCAAGGACCTTCAAAGCTTTAGGCGTAGGTTTTTTAAAGAATATTTTTCAAGGACCTTCTTCGGGGATTTTTAAAGAATATTTCTGCAAGGATCTTCGTGGATTTTTAAAGAATATTCCTGCAAGGATCTTCGTGGATGCTTAAAGAATATTTCTGCAAGGATCTTCGTGGATTTTTAAAGAATATTTCTGCAAGGATCTTCGTGGATTTTTAAAGAATATTTCTGGCAAGATCTTCGGAGATTTTTAATTAATATTTTTGCAAGGATCTTCGTGGATTTTTAAAGAATATTTCTGCGAGGATCTTCGTGGATTTTTAAAGAACATTTCTGCAAGGATCCTCAAGGATTTTTAAAGAATATTTCGGCAAGGATCTTCGTGGATTTTTAAAGAATATTTCAGTCAAGATCTTCGGAGATTTTTAATGAATATGTTTGCAAGGATCTTCGAGGATTTTTAAGGAATATTTCTGGCAAGATCTTCGTGGATTTGTAAAGAATGTGTTATTTTTCAAATGTTTTTTTTTTAAGACACAGTCGTTTTTCTTCAGTGCTATAATCGTGGATTGCATTTTTTTTTTTTTTTTTTTGTGAAGGGCCCTCATTGCTCTCATTTTATTATTTCTTTTAAACAATATTTTGGAAGATCCGCATAGCAAGCAAATATTCTTAAAATAATCTTTTTCAATGACATTCGGCGATATAAGCGTGTATTTTTGAAAAGGTTTTACTTATTTTTATGGACATGGAAAACTCTTCCAAGGGTTGCTATCACTTGTAGATTTCGACCCACCAAAATTAAAGATTTTTTATAAATTTTTTATTTTCAGATATCCTTGCTTCAATCTCAAGGGTGATGACACCGCCATAATTATATGCTCATCTGGTACCACAGGCACTCCAAAGGGTGTACGATGTTCTCATCGTGCTTTTCTCAATCAGAATGTTTTGTAAGTACACAGAAATATTTTCCTATATTTTTAATTCCTCAAAATAACAATTTAAAACTTTCCCCTTCCTCCCATAGTGTAACGCTCAAAACGGAATCGGTGATATGCAGCTTCAGCACTTTATATTGGATATCAGGAGCATTTAGCTTAATTTCCTCTTTAATAACTGCTGCGATGCGAATTGTGACCACTCAACCTTATTCCCCGCAATATTTTCTCGATTTGGTACGACGTTATAGGATTTCGCATTTCCTTGGTGGTGGTAATTTCATGGCCGAATTAATTATGCACACCAATGAAAGGGAGATACAAAAAAGCTTAGAATCCATTGATACCTTGCTGATTGGTGGTGCCAAAGTACTACAGGCTGTGCAGGAAAAAATGAATTCCATTTTGGCCTGCAATGCACATAGGCCTGGATTTTGTGTTGCCTATGGTATGTCCGAGTTATCAGGTATGCTGAGTATTAATGGTGGTTATGTAATGCAGCGGCGGGAAGGGTCCGAGGGTAAGCTAGTGGCCAATAAGCATGTGCGAATAATCGACAAAAAAGGCATGAACTTGGGACCCAATGAACATGGTGAAATATGTATTCTGACACCGTATACCTGGTTCGGCTATGTCGATAATCCTGAAGCAACGAGAAAAGCTTTACCCGACAATTGGCTACACACTGGTGATATTGGCTATTTCGATGATGACGGGTATTTGCATGTTTGTGCCCGCGACAATGATGTCTTCAAATCGAGAAATTTTCAAATTTATCCACAGCTAATAGAAGAGGTGGTATGTCGCATAGCCGGTGTGGCTGAATGTTGTGTTTTTGGTATACCCGATTTTGTGGCGTCCCATTTGACGGCTTGTGTTGTGGTTCGTCTGAAAAATGCCGATGGTCTGAAATTAACCACCAAGGAAATCGATCAACATGTTAAGGCGCACATGGGTAGCATGTATCATTTGAGTGGTGGTGTTTATTTCATTGATGCAATACCAAAGACGGGATCGGGAAAGGCTCAGCGAAGAAAAGTGTTGGAACTTGTAATGGCAATGAAAAAGCAAGGAGATGATAAGCTGCAATAACAATAATACAATGCAATAATAATACAATACAATAAAGAATTAATGATCTGTAATACTGGATGAGATAATTAAATATTTTACAAGAATCAATAACTTGACAATTGTCCTTTTTTCGATGTATGAGTATGAGAATATCATCGCAATATTTTAAAATCTCTTTATTCTGTATTTCTGCATTTTATGAATTTTTTCTCCTCCTCAGGTGAAATGATTACAAAAGGGTCTTAGAACTAAACCCAAAACCCGAAACAAATCAGATAACTATTTTAATATAAACTAGTAAGGAAAGTAGTAAAGTCGGACGGGACCGACTATATGATACCCTTCACCACTATGGGTATATTAAACAGGACTATTAACATGAAATTGGATGAAATAATATATGTGATAATGTGAATCTACCTGGATATATCCATAAAGTATGTAAATCGACTTCAAACAAATATAAATAGGTCATAAGTTGGGCTATGTCTGCACTTCTAGAAAACGCAACTACGTAGTTCTATGGTCAATTTTGTACGTTGTGCAAAATTTGATATCAATCTGACTAACATGAGGAGTTTGATGTCTAATTTATTTGAAATCGGGCGAAAATATATATGGATGCTCTATCCAAATATTAAGCGATTTCAAGCAAACTTGTCACAGGTTAGGTTATACTAATTTCAGAACGTTTTGTTCCTATTGGTTCCTTGTTGCGTCAATTACTTAAAATATGTGAGCTATATATGTGGGAGCTATTTAGAAATCTGGACCGAAACTTGGCAGACATCACTCTAGGCTCAATTCAGTACGTTATGCCAAATTTCCTGCAAATCGAAGGATATATTGGGACTTTGGGGCACCATATACATGAAATCGGACGAAACTATATATGGGAGCTAAATCTAAATCTGGACCGATTTTCTCGAAACTTAGCAGACATCACTCTAGGCTCAATTCAGTACGTTATGCCGAATTTCGTGCAAATCGAAAGATATATAGGGACTTTGGGGCACCATTTACATGAAATCGGACGAAACTATATATGGGAGCTATATCTAAATCTGGACCGATTTTCTCGAAACTTGGCAGACATCAATCTAGGCTTAGTTCAGTACGTTGTGCCGAATTTCGTGCAAATCAAAAGATATATAGGGACTTTGGGGCACCATTTACATGAAATCGGACGAAACTATATATGGGAGCTATATCTAAATCTGGACCGATTTGCACGAAACTTGGCAGACATCATTCTAGACCTAAATCATTAGGCTGTACCAAATTTCGTACAAATCGAAAGATATATAGGGACTTTGGGGCACCATATACATGAAATCGGACGAAACTATATATGGGAGCTAAATCTGGACCGATTTTCTCGAAACTTGTCAGACATCACTCTAGGCTCAATTCAGTACGTTATGCCAAATTTCCTGCAAATCGAAAGATATATAGGGACTTTGGGGCACCATTTACATGAAATCGGACAAAACTATATATGGGAGATATATCTAAATCTGGACCGATTTTCTCGAAACTTGGCAGACAACAATCTAGGCTTAGTTCAGTACGTTGTGCCGAATTTCGTGCAAATCAAAAGATATATAGGGACTTTGGGGCACCATTTACATGAAATCGGACGAAACTATATATGGGAGCTATATCTAAATCTGGACCGATTTTCTCGAAACTTGGCAGACAACAATCTAGGCTTAGTTCAGTACGTTGTGCTGAATTTCGTGCAAATCAAAAGATATATAGGGACTTTGGGGCACCATTTACATGAAATCGGACGAAACTATATATGGGAGCTATATCTAAATCTATATACCGATTTTCATGAAACTTGGCAGACATCATTCTAGACCTAAATGATTAGCCTGTACCAAATTTCGTGCAAATCGAAAGATATATAGGGACCGTTTACATTAAATTGGTTAAATATATATATGGGAGCTATATCTAAATCTGAACCGATTTTTCCCAATTTCAATAGGGTTCGTCCTTGGGCCGAATAAGTGACCTATGCCAAATTTCATCCAATTCGGATCATAAATGCGACCTGTACTTTGTTTACAATTTAACACCAACAGAAGGACGGACGGACGGACATGCATAAATCGACTTAAAAAGTGATTCTATGCATATTCTCAAAAGGAACCATGTGTTTATCTCGTTTCCTTTTGTCTGTTACAAACATATGCACAAAGACATAATACCCTGTACCACAGTGTGGTGAAGGGTATAAAAAGCGGGCAATATGGGGACTACGCCAAAAAGGAAGCGAATATTATTAATTTTTGGTAGGGAGATTTGTTACCATATACGACTACAAAATACCAAATTGCAGCGAATTCGGTTAAAGAACGCGCTCAAGAACCCCAAAATACCGAAAATTGGGGGTACCCTTATATGGGAGCTATCGGAAAAAATAGACCTATATACATATTTTTTTGTAGAGAGGTTTGGTACCTATAAAGAACTTCAAATAATAAATTACAACCAATTCGGTGGAAAAATACGACCAAAACCCTCAAAATACTTAGGAGGTACCGTTATATGGGGGCTACCAGAAAATATGGACCTTTACTTATAATTTTTTGTGCCTGCAGACAAAAGACAACCCTATGCAAAATTTCAGCTCCCTATCTCAATTCCTTCAGAAGATAGCGTTAATTCAACAGACGGGCGTACGGACGGACATGGCTAGATCGTCTTAGAATTTTACCCTGATCACTTTATAGGGTCGGAAATGCATATTTCGATGAGTTACAAACGGAATGACAAAATTAATATACCCTCCATACTATGGTAGAGGGTATAAAAAAGTCTTACTTATGGGTACGAAAAGCACAAAATGGTACTAAATTTGAACGATGGACGGATGGGGCTGGAATCCTGAAGTTTAGAATTAAAATAACTGTTGGAGTGCAGGATTGAGATATTGATGTAGTTTGAAAATTCGTAATTATGGATATTAATGGTACTAAACTTGGTAGAATTTAAATTGGAGTGAACGGATAGAGATGGGAGACTTATTTTTGGAATTAAAATTACTGTTAGGGTACAGAAATTCGAACTATTAAGTATGAAAACTTGGCGAACGGATAGAGCTTGAATATTTAACATTATACCTAAGATTATTATTGGAATGCATGACTGAGGTAGTTTTGGAAATTCGTACATATGGGTATCAAAAGTAGAAAATTTAGTACAATTTGGACTTTGGAGAACGGGTAGAAGTGGAATACAGAAAGTTGCAACTAAGATTAATGTCGGAGTGTAGGATTGAGATAGTTTTGGAATATGGGTACCAAAAGTACCCCTGGTACAATTTGGATTTTGGTGAACAGATGAAATTTTTAAAATTGGACTTACGATTACTATTTAAAAGGAGGATTAAGGTAGTTTTAGAAATTCGTGTTTATGAGTACGAAAAGTACTAAATTTGGTTCAATTTGGACTTTGGTGGGTTAATCATTACTGTTAGAAGATAGTATTGATGTAGTTTTAGAAATTCATACTTATGAGTGTAAAAGTACTAACTGGAACTACTAAATTTAGTGATATATGGAGGTAGTCTTGAAAATCAGTACTTATGTGTTCGAAAAGTACTGAATGGACCTAACTGTGGAACCTGTAGGTATTCTGATCACTTTTGAATCTGTATAATGGATAAAAGACTGAGATTTCGCAAAATAATGCTTATGTGTATGAAGAGTACTAAATGGTAATAAACTTGATATTAGATGTAGTAATAGAGGTCGAATTCGGAATTATAGTACAAGAAATTATACAGTATTCACAATTTCCATATGAAATATTATTTATTTATTTTTTATTCCCTTCCGCATACGATGTACCAGGCACTGTGCTAGCAAGATTAAAAAACACCTGTTGGAAGTAGGGCACTTCAGCGATCTGGACAGCTGAAAAATTCAAGAGGGATTACTTAATGCTTCAATTTGAGCCCTCAAATAGCATTGAAGCCCTGAGGAATTTAGTGGCAAGCATTGACCCCCATAAGCGAGACAATGAAACTCAAGCTTTGATAGAAGTTGGAGCAGAGATTTCACGACAGAAAGCATGTTCGATGTCTTCGCTCTGCAGAAAAAAAACATTGCTGGTGAAGAACAACAGAGAGGATAACGAAGAGGGCGCTCTCCAGGCGATGGGCTTCAATGGCATTTCTGGCTAAGATTGAGGGTAGGGCGCTCTTCGTGTCCAATCCTTGCCTAGATTGGGAAGGCAAGGATTGGAGAGAAGAAAGCCCCAAAAAAGCAACGAGGGAAAAACATCTAGCAACCAAGCCGAGGAGAAGATGACAGACTACCAAGAAAATTATTTATTGTTGGACAATTAATTGAGGTCATCCAGATAAACCTAAATCGGTACCCTTCACCACTTTTGGTATATTCAACCGATGAATCATAACAGACGTCGAATTTTTGAAGGACCACTAACATGCAAATCGATCCATAAACATGCCATTCTGCAACCTATACTAAATTTCTCATTTGTTCAGATATAGAAGCTATATCTAAATCTGAAACAATTTCAGGAAACTTAACACATATCTAGATCTAATTTATTACGCTGTGCCAAATTTAGTGCAAACCGAAAGGTATTAAGGGACTTTGGTGCACCATCTATATCCGAACCGGATATCTAAATCCGAACCGATTTTCAGGTAACCTAACACACATCACCCTAGAGATAATTCATTACGCTGAGCCAAATTTAGTGCAAATCGAGAGATATATTACCTTAAATCGGACGAAAATATATATGAGATCAATATCTAAATTTGAACCGATTTTCAGGAAACTTAACACACATCATTCTAGAGATAATTCATTACGCTGTGCCAAATTTCGTGCAAATCGAAAGATATATAGGGAATTTGGTGCACCATTTACATTAAATCGGACGAAAATATATATGAGAGCTATATATAAATCTGAACCGATTTTCAGGAAACTTAACACACATCATTCTAGAACTAATTTGTTACGCTGTGCAAATTTCGTGTTTAAATCGACTCAAAAAGTGATTTTATGCATATTCTCAAAAGGAACCATGTGTCTATCTCGTTTCCTTTTGTATGTTACAAACATATGCACACAGACATAATACCCTGTACCACAGTGTGGTGAAGGGTATAAAAATAATTTGGTTCAAGAACCTCAAAATACCGAAAATTGGGGGGTACCCTTATATGGGGGCTACCAGAAAAAATTTTCCAATATTTATAATTTATAGTGGAGAGATTTGCTACCTAATAAGAAGTCGACGTACTAAATTACCCCCAAAATACCAAAATTTTGGGGGTACCGTTTATGGGGACTACCAGAAAAACTGGACCTATATTTATAATTTTTAGTGGAGTAATTTGGTACCCAATAAGAACCCAATGTACAAAATTTCAGAGAATTCAGTTATAAAACGAGCTCAAGAACCCGAAAATACCGAAAATTGAGGGTACCCAGAAAAAATGGACCTTTATTTATAATTTTTGGTAGGGAGACTTGCTACCCAATAAGAACTCAAAGTACCAAATTTCAGCGAATTCAGTTAAAAACGCGCTCAAGAACCTCCAAATACCAAAAATTTGGGGGTAACCTTATATGGGAGCTATGCCTAAACGTGGACCAATTTTCTCCAATTTCGATAGGGTTCGTCCTTGGGCCAATTAAGTGACCTGTGCCAAATTTCAGCCAATTCGAATCATAAATGTGACCTGTACTTTGTTTACAATTTAACATGGACAGACGGACGGACAGACGAACATGCGTAAATCGACTCAGAAAGTGATTCTATGCATATTCTCAAAAGGAACCATGGGTCTATGTCGATTATTTTTGCCTGTTACAAACATATGCACAAAGACATAATACCCTGTACCACAATGTGGTGAAGGGTATAAATACATATCGGTCTAATTCTTTGTATTTAACCATATAAATTACGAATTCAAATACAGACTCTCGAACGAGAACCGGCGTAAATATGAGGCTCAAGCTACAACGGAGTGCCTAAACTAGTAAGATTTAAACTCTGGTCTGGATAAAACTAGCTATACAAGCTGTTATATTTAAAACTGCTCTGGAATAATTTCTCTCTTGTGCGAATCCTATGGAGTGCTACTGACCGATTCGTAGTTATGGCGGAGACTATAATTAAACCATTCTATTATTCTTACCTCCCATATTCGAATTTATTCAGAATTCGATTGATTGCATTGCATGACAGTTTAATGTTTTTTTTTTTCAACAAATTTGCTAATTTGTTCGACAACCCATCATAAATGTGAGCGTGCTCTATTAAATTGTAAATTCTTAGTTAATAAGTTCAAACAATGTTGTAGCAAAACGTTATTTTTTCCTGTTTTATATTGACAAATGTAACAGTAATTTAAATATAAAATTGACACTTAATAACCTTTATTAACTGACATTGTCAAAGTCATAACAAGGCAGTGACATGCATGCAACACTAAATTTCCCAGGTTTATAAAAGGCGGATATGAATTTAGAAGCAACAGCAATAAAATATTCAGTTTTTTTTTCTGAACATTTGTTGAACATCAAAAGTCAATGGAGGATCGAATGCATCCACTAACCGCCACCTACTACGATGCCAAGGAAAAAATTTGGTCAGGACCAAAGTGCAAGGAGATCTACAGTGACAGCATAACACTGGGTGAAGTCATCTTTGAGGTACTCTCCAAACAATCGGCAGGGAAGCTGATACAAATTCATGATGTTAGTGGTGTTCAAATGACATGTGGAGAATTGTTGCACAATTCGCTGGTCTTGACTAATCACCTATGGAATTTGGGTTTAAGAAAAGGCGACATTATTGGCCTCTTTGCCAACAATTGGACACAGGTTACATCACTCATGGTGGCTTCGTTTTTGGCTGGCACGCCAGTAAATGCCCTGTATCCGGGTTTTGATAAAGGTAAAAATTATTTTTGTTATTATTTTTTGTGAGAACATCCCTTATGAGTTTATATTCTTTTAGACAGCGTTTCGGTTATCTATAAGGTAACCCGTCCAAAAATTCTATTCTGCGAAGTGTCAAATTATCCAATTGCCCAGGATATTAATCGTGAATTGCAATTAGAGGCAAAGATTTTCATAATGAACGATGATGAGAGATTGCAAGGGGTGGGCCATATCGAGGATTTGCTGAAAATTGAGAAGTCACAGATTAAAAGTGATTTTAGGTGAGTAAAGTTATAAGGGTGAAGTTTTCGAAGGTCTACCGCAATTATAGGTGTGGATTTGGTAAAGAGTATTTGTAAAAGAAGCTACAAACATGGGTTTGTATATCCTGCACCAAAAGGTGTTGTGTATACTAAAATTGTCATAACTTTTGCAACTCCATAAAATATTCGTCGGCCAGCCTCCATTTTACGATTCTGTTTCATTTTCAGTATTTTAAAGGTTTAAGCCATATTTTCGATGCTCATTTTTCGTCCAATTTGGCATTCCATGTTCTTGGTGGGATAAAACTTATTTGCTGAAAATTGTCTCTACAGGTCCTTGTGTAGTCCTCATATAAAGAATCTGCATCACTAAATTCCTGGTTTAATGTGGTGGACATAAGACCACTTACCTGGACATTTTTAGAATTGAAAAATATTTTTATGTAGTCCTGTCCGTGTTCAAAGGTCTATTTCGAATGTTCCAACTTGTGTATCTGTATCAGGTATATTATCACGCTAATGAGAGGCATTGAAAAATAGTTTTTAAAAAATCAAGCTTTGGTATAGATCGTAAAAAAAATTCTGTAATAAACAACACTTGGGATAGGCCTTGGAAAAATATTCTTTAAAAAATCCACGCTTGGTATAAACATTAAAAAAATATTCTTTGAAAACCCACGCTGGGGATGGACCTTGAAAAAATATTTTTTAAAATTTTTTAATAGAATCCAGAACCTTAAAAAATATTGTTAAAAATCTACGCTTGGGAGCTTTTTAAAAATCCAGACTTAAGATAGAACTTAACCAGTGAGCGGAGCAGTATAGTCGGAGGGGGCCGACCATACGATACCCTACACAACTACCACGGAACTCAAATTTTCTGCGGATGTTTATTCCGAGCCTGGGCAATATTTCGTGATATTTGCACCCTCTTGCTCGATTAGAGGTAAACAGCACCTCTTCCTCACACTGACATATTTTCAGAATATTACGAGTATTCTGTACATATATTGTCCATATTCCCTTCACCGTGGGTTGTGTTGTGATGTTCGGCTTTCATTTTTGTCTATAGATCGACTCGAAAATAACACAAAAAATTCAGTTTTCGGCACACTTCATTCCAAAATTATTATCTGATCATCACCGAAAATTATAGGCGTTGTCCTTGACCATAACTGGAACCTCATGGAACATTTCAAAGCGATTTGCGCTATAATTCCGCTCTCTAGAGTGATAATGGGTTACTAAATAATATACAAATAAGGAGATACCTAAAAAAATATTTAGGTGTAACTCCCACATCCGAGCACATACAGCAATATAATTTGTATTAATTTAAAGTCCAACCACTCCTCTTGGATATACTATCAACTACTCGGCTCCTTCAGTATTAATTATATACGCTATAGACTACAAATTTTGTATTTTTTCATACAAACGTCAGGGTTCATTTGACCCGCTAAATATTGACCGATCTTTATCAAAATAGGCATGCTTATACTTTGGCCCGATCCCCTTCTCTATGCAAAATTTCACGATGTTCGTGCCATTATTGTGGCCTCTGGAACGACCAGAAAAACCGACAAAAATTTAGTATTTGGTCCATTTCATCCCCTAAATATTAACCGATATCTCCCAAAAACAATAGGGGTCTTCATTGGCAGGAACACATCCTACATGCAAAATTTCATAAAGATTAGTCCATAACTGCGGCCTGTATCGTGTTTACAAATTATAATGGACAGACAGACGGACGGACACACATCTAGATCGACTCAGCTAGTCGAGATATGACGATCGGTATACTTAAAGGTGGGTCTAGGACCAATATTTCGCGGCGTTACAAACTTTTCGGGCTGCACAAAGCTATAATACCCTGACAACATAGTTGTGTAGGGTATAAATAGTTTTTAAAAAATCAAGCCTTGGGGTAGATCCTTAACAATTTTCTGTAATAAACAACGCTTGGGATAGGCCTTGAAAAAATATTCTTTAAATATCCACGCTTGGAATGGATCTAGAAAGTATATTTTTTACAAATTCACGCTTGATATTGATCCTGAAACATTTTACTTTACAAAATCGACGTTTATGAGAGACATTGAAAAAATATTCTTTAAAAAATCCATGCTTGGTATAAACAATTAAAAAAAAATCTTTAAAAACCCAAGCTGGAGATGGACCTTAAAAAAATATTTTTTTTAAACATTCCAGTCTTGGGATAGAATTGAAAAATATTTTTAAGATCCAGAAACGAGATAAGCCTTAAAAATATTGTTTAAAAATCCAAGCTTAGGGTAGGCCTTAAATATATTGTTAAAAATCTACACTTGGGAGCTTTTTAAAAAAATCAGACTTAAGATAGAACTTAAAAATGATTTTTTTTAAAGATCCAGGCTTGGGATAGACCTTAAAAATATTTTTTAAAACATCCAGGATTCGGGTAAACCTTAAAAATATTTATAAAAAATCCAAACTTGGGATAGAAAGTGAAACCCTATTCTTAAGAAAATTCTTGCTTTGAATAGAATTTGAAACAAATATTCTTTAAAAAATCCACACATGGGATAGTCCTTGAAAATATATTCTTTAAACCAGTAAGGAAAGTGGTAAAGTCGGACGGGGTCGACTATATGATACCCTTTACCACTTTGGGTAAATCCAACAGATGAATCTTAACAGACGTCGCATTTTTGATTTTCACGAAACATAACACACATCATTCAAGACTTTATTCAGTACCCTGTACAAAATTTCGTGCAAATCGAAAGATATATAGGGACTTTGGTGCACCATTTACCTTAAATCGGACGAAAATATATATGGGAGCTATATCTAAATCTGAACCGATTTTTCCCAATTTCAATAGGGTTCGTCCTTGGGCCAAATAAGTGACGTATGCCAAATTTCATCCAATTCGGATAATAAATGCGACCTGTACTTTGTTTATAATTTAACATGGACAGACGGCGGACGGACATGCATAAATCGACTTAAAAAGTGATTATATGCATATTCTCAAAAGGAACCATGGGTCTATCCTGATTCCTTTTGCCTGTTACAAACATTTGCACAAAGACATAATACATTGTACCACAGTGTGGTAAAGGGTATAAAAAACCAAATTACAAAGAATTTGGTTGAAAAACGCGCTCAAGAACCCCAAAATACCGAAAATTGGGGGTACCCTTATATGGGGGTTACCCGAATAATATGACCTAAATTTATAATTTATAGTGGAGAGATTTGCTACCTAATAAGAACTCGACGTACTAAATTACAGTCAATTCGGTCGAAAAATACGATCAGAACCCCCAAAATACCAAAAATTTGGGGGTACCCTTATATGGGGACTACCAGAAAAACTGGACTTATATTTATAATTTTTAGTGGAGTAATTTGGTACCCAATAAGAACCCAATGTACAAATTTCTCGTTTTTTAGTTATAAAGCGAGCTCAAGAACCCCAATATACCGAAAATTGTGGGTACCCTTATATGGGGACTATCCGAAAAAATTGACCTATAATTATAATTTTTAGTAGGGAGATTTGCTACCCAATAAGAACTCAAAGTACAAAATTTCAGCGAATTCGGTCCAAAAATGCGATCAAAACCCCCAAAATATTGGGGCTACCCTTATATGGGGACTATCCAATAAGAGCTCAAAGTACCAAATTTCAGCGAAAACGTGCTAAATAACCTCAAAATACCGAAAATTGGGGGGTACCCTTACATGGGATCTATGTCTAAACGTGGACCGATTTTCTCCAATTTCAATATGGTTCGTCATTGGGCCAATTAAGTGACCTGTGCCAAATTTCATCCGAATCGGATCATAAATGCGACCTGTACTTTGTTAACAAAAATACATGGACGGACGGACAGACGGACATGCATACATCGACTCAGAAAGTGATTCTATGCATATTCTCAAAAGCAACCATGGGTCTATCTCGATTATTTTTGCCTGTTACAAACATATGCACAAATACATAATACCCTGTACCACAGTGTGGTGAAGGGTATAAAAAACCACGCTTTTGGCAGACCTAAAATATCCGGGCTGGGGTAGACATTAAAAATAGTTAAAAAAACAAACTTGGCTTAGAAATATTTTTTTTAAGAAATCCACACATAGGGTAGAACTTTTTTTTTTAATCCGTGTTTGGAATGGACCGTTAAAAATAATGCTTGTGAAAGACATTGAAAAAATATATTCTTTAAATAATCTTTTGAAAGTCCTTGAAAAGTGGATCATTTGAGTGGTGAAGGTCCTTGAATTTTTTTAAATATATATATATAGAAAAGATTCTTTGAAAAAATCGATGCTTATATAGAGAAGGTTTATGATTTTCTTTTTAATCCACCCTAATATAGAGTAGTTCCATTAAAAACATATTAAAAATCCACGTTAATACAGAGAAGGTCCTTGAAAAATGTACTCCTACTAGAAAACGTCCAAAGAAAGTCCACACTTATCTATGGAAGGTTTTTAAAAATCCATCTTATGAAGACTTGGTTTATTAAAAGAAATAGTTTTTTTTTGTTTTAATTCCAGGGTAATAGTGGTGATAGTCCCCAAAAAAATGATCTTAAAAAATCAGCGCATATCGTTTAAAATTCGCGTTGATAGGCCCTTTAACACATCTTAATAAATCGTCACTTGAAGCATCTTAGAAATATATTCTTTTATTTAATTTTCTCTCAAATAATTTCAAACACATATTTTTTATTTTTCTCCATCTTTTGAGATATGGCTGTCATGATCTCAACGGAGATGACATCGCGTTGATCATGTGTTCCTCTGGTACAACAGGTACTCCCAAAGGTGTTATGTGTTCGCATCGCTCTTTACTAAATCAAAAAGTGTGGTAAGTATACGTTTTCCTCAATGGTATCAATCTTGCTCTGGAATCAATCAATTCCTTTTCAGTTTAACCCTGAAAAGTGATTCGATCATTTCAACCTTCAGTACCATGTATTGGATATCGGGAATTTTGATGATGCTCTCCTCTCTCACCAGCGGTTGTTTGCGTGTAATTACATCGCGATCTTTTACCACCGATTATTTTCTCGGCTTAATTGAACGCCATAAAATAACACATTTCTTTGCAAGTGGTACGTATATGGCGGAATTGTGTATGTATAAGGATATCGAACACATTCAAAGGGCACTGGCCTCAATTGATACCCTCCTGGTGGCTGGATCAAAAATCCCACTGGCTGTACAGGAGAAAATGAATGGCATATTGGCGTGTAATACACGAAGACCTGGCTTCAATGTGGTCTATGGCATGACCGAATTATCCGGTATACTTAGCAGTAATTTATATTATGTGGCAGATGGTTTAGAGGGGACTGAGGGTAAATTGTTACCCAATACAAGGGTGCAAATTTGTGATAAAAAGGGTCAACGTTTGGGTGCCATGGAACATGGAGAAATTTGCATTTGGACACCATACCCATGGAAGGGTTATTTTAAAAACCCCGAAGCCACAAAGAAAGCTCTTAAACACGATTGGCTTCAAACGGGAGATATTGGATTTTTCGATACCGAGGGTTTTCTACATGTTTGCTCACGCGATAATGATGTCTTTAAATCAAATAATTTTCAAATTTATCCACCGATGATTGAGGATGTGATTTACCGTTTGCCTGGTATTGCTGAAACATGTATTGTTGGAATACCGGATTTAGTGGCGGCCAATTTAATCGGATGTGCTGTGGTACGCAATAAGACGGTAGAAGGATTAAAATTATCGACAAGGGATGTTGTGGAACATGTTAAAGCCCATATGGGTAGTATGTATCACATAACTGATGGTGTTTATTTTATTGAGAGCCTACCGAAAACTGGATCGGGAAAGATAAAGAGGAGTAAAGTTTTAGAATTAATAATGGAAATTAGAAACAATGTAAAATAATTTTATATTAATGATTATAGATATATATGAATAAGACAAGAAATATATAAAATACCTTAAATAATAGTTGTAAGGATATCAAAAATTTTCAAGAAACTTTCTTAGTTTTGTTTCAGGACAATATCTTTGATAGGTGTGTAGATTCCAAATCGTATTTTTCATTCTTTAAAAAATCCACGCTTGGGATAGACATTGAAAAAATTATTCTTTAAAAAATCTATGTTTGGGATCGGCTTGGAAAAAATATTTTTAAAAATCCAGGCTTGGGATGGACCTTGATAAAACCTCCCATTAGATGGGACATTAATATGGGTCTATGCATTGGTAACTTTGTATTGGATATTAAACTACAGACATTCAGATTGAAAACTTGGCTAGATCCTTGAAGATATCGAAAAGGATGCGTAACATTTGTAGGGGGAGACTTTTCATATAGCATGGACTTGAAGTTGAAAACACGTTTGACATTATTTAAATATATAATTTTTTTGGGACTATACCTTATGAACCGATGTTGGTAATTTTTGGTTAGAAAACTTATAACCAGAAATATAAAATCGCAGCCAATTCGATTGAAATTTCGGTACTCCCAATGGGCTATATAGGCTATAATAAAACATGGACCGACAATACCGAATAAGAAAGAGTTTTTTTTAGTTTTTTAACGGGGCTACTCCAAAAGTGCATCCATATTTATATTGTTGGGACCATACCAAAACGCAGAAAATGTATTTAAAAATTCATCATTGAGATTTTTACTTCGTGATGGCAAGTCTGACAGATATGAAGAGTCGGCTTCAAATATTCATTGGAAAACCTACTAGTTCTTGACAAAAATATTCTTTATTAAATACATGTTTGGAGGCCCATGTTTGAAAAATCCTCGCTTATGGCGATGATAGCCTTTGAAAAATATCTAAATCTGAACCGATTTTCACAAAACGTCGTATACACTAATAAGGACCTATCTCAATACGTTGTGCAAAATTTTTTATCAATCGGACAATCCTTGGGAATTTAGTGCACCATTTACCAAAAAAATCGGTATTGGGGAGATGTATCCAAATTTGAACCGATTTTCACAAAATTTAATACTATTTTATTTTAATACGCTCTGCAAAATTTTGTCTCAATCGAAAAAATTATGGAAAGTTTGGTGCAAAATTTACCAAAAATCGGAAGAAACTAAATAAGGGAGCTATATCTAAATCTAAACCGATTTCAACAAAACTTCATAAATATCAAACAGGACTTATTCAGTAGCCTGTGCAAAATTTTGTCTCAATCGGACAAAAAGTTTGTTGCACAATTTACCTAAAATCGGACGGAACTGTATATGGGAGCTATATCTAAATCTGAACCAATTTTCTTCAATTTCAATAGGGTTCGTCCCTGGGCCAAACAAATGGGCTGTGCCAAATTTCATCCAAATCGGATCATAAATGCGACCTGTACTTTGCTCACAAAAATACATGGACGGACGGACATGCATAAATCGACTCAGAAAGTAATTCTATGCATATTCTCAAAGTGAACCATGGGCCTACCTCGTTTCCTTTTGCCTGTTACAAACATATGCACATAGACATAATACCCTGTACCACAGAGTGGTGAAGGGTATACAAATCCAAGGTACAAGATTGGGCACCATATGGTAAGCATAATTTTTAAAAAAAATCTACAATGGGATGTCTGCTAATCTTTGAGAAAATATTATTTAGAAAATCAGCTCTTAGAGATCTTCATCTGAGGTCTGCTAGTCCTTAAAAAATATATTTAGATAATCCACATTTGGAGGTCTGCTAGACCTTGGAAAATCCACGCAATGAGATCTGCTATTCTTTGAGAAAATATTCTGTAAAAAATCCACTTTTGGTGGTCTGCTAGTCTTTGAAAAAATATCCTTTTAAGTCTAGAAGATTTGTCAATCTTAGAGCAACTACTTGAAAGAATGCTTTAGAAAACCTACACTTGGTCAATTGCTAATGTTTGTGGAAATATTCTTTAAAAAAATCCGTGCTTGGAGGTCTGATAACCCCTAAAAATATTTGTTAATATCCATGTTAGGTGATCTGCTTGTCCTTGGAAAAATTATAGATTGGAGACCTGCTGGTCATTGAAAAAAAAATATTCTTTAAAAAATCCACGTTTGGGAGTCAGCTAATTTTGGAGAAAATATACTTTAAAAAATCCAAGCTTAGCCATCTGATATCCCTTTTAGAAATATTTTTTGAAAGTCTGTTAATCCTCCAAAAAATATTCTTTTCAAATATACGCTTGGATATTTGCTAGCCATTTTTTATTAAATCAACGGTTGGGGTAAGCAAGCCTTTGAGAAAATATTCTTGAAAAATCCACTCTTAGAGATCGGCAAATCTTAGAAGTGTATCGAACACACGTAGAGCTGTTCTGTAACACACTTTACACCATTTTGAAGTGAATTCTTTACACTTACATTTTCATAGTGAGAGTCGGGCGTATTCATGTTTTTTATAAAAGAATATTTTTTTAAATAAAAATGCAAATGATGATAATTTAATATTTTATTATTGCGTATAATTTATTTAAAATTAAGATCAAACGCCATTAGAAATCAATTGTAAATAAATGCTAAGGGTTTCCGAATGAATCTCACACTTGACACAAACAGCTGATTTGAAATAGGATCGTACAAGATAGGGTTACCAAATGTTCCTCTTAAAGCAATCAACAACACTATTTCCGCAAAGTACCATGTTGACTTTTATTTTGTTGTTGTTGTGCAGAAAATTTCAATTCATGTGAGTAGCAGAACAGGTGGTAACTTCAGAGGGGAAGTGTATGTGTGAAGTGTAAAAAACTCAGCGTGTGTTCCAGAACATACCCGATAGTTTCATGTTTTTCGTGAACATTACATAAAACTATCCCGAATAGTTTATCGCATTCACATGATAGTTGATCCCCCCAAAAGTTAAGCATAGATTATTTCTTGAAAATAGAATCTTATCAATGACCAAAAAGAAAAAAATGTAAACAAAAACTAAATTCGTACTATCGCAAATAATTTCAAAATAATTTAATTTAATTATTAATTAATATTTAATTAATTTAATTTATTATAGCGAATTGTGCTTATCGCGAGAACACCAACGAACTATGATGGGTCAGTGCGATAAGATTCAGATTTGTAAAAGTTTTTATTTTGTTTTGTGATTATAGGAAAAGAAATTGGTTTCATAGAAAAGTATTCCACCTGTTGTCCATATACCATAACTAGATCATAGATATGACCAAAACGAGATAAGTGGTAAGTTTCGAAATTTAACTATCTCTCCCTCTGTCATTATCTATTGAGAGTTAAATTTCGAATATTTGTGAGACTGTGATTTACTGTTAGTAAATAGAACAAAATGTCTGACTTAGCCGGAACAGTATACAATGAAGAGGAGAAAATTTGGTCGGGACCCAAAACCAAGGAAGTCTATAGCTCAGAAATGACAATGGGCAATAATAAATGACAATGGAAAATAATACAAATTTTAAATTTTTTTCTCGATCATAGTATGTCATTGGCAATGAACTTAGTTGATAGGGATATAAAAGCTGGTGATATTGTTGGGATTTATGCCAAACATTTGGGTAACCTGATTTTGGCTTAATTGCTGTGTGGAACTCCGGTACATGGAGTTTTTCATAATTTTGAAAAGGGTAATGGAATTTATTTTTTCTATAAATAGACAAATTTAAATTAAAACAAATATTATTTTAATTACAGATACCATAACAAAACTCTATGAACCCACTCGTCCCAAGATAATATTCTGTGATGAGGAAATATATACCAAAGCCCTTTTTGTATTGGAAACATTAAAATTGGATGCTAAAATAATTATAATAACCGGCGATATAGAGGTTTTTATAATATATAAGGGATTTAGTTAAGAAGCGTACGGACATTGGAGATCTAGCATCGTTTCCGTGTGCTAAACTTTGCAGTTCGGATACTGCAGCCATATCTTCGGGCACCACGGGTACACCAAAAAGGTGTAATGTGCTCCCATCAGTCAATGCTACACAATGCTGTATAGTAAGTATAAGTAGGTTATCACAGCTTGCAGATCTAATTGTTCAGGTGCTGGTCCTTGAGGTCTGCAAGTCCTTAAAAAAACACTATAAGAGATCTGTTAATCCGCCTAATGTGAGTCCTTGAAAAAATATTCTTGAAAGAATCCACGCCTAGTGTGAGATAGTCCTTGAAAAAATATTCTTTAAGAAATCCATGCCTATTGCTAGATAGTCCTTGAAAAAATATTCTTGAAAGAATCCACGCCTAGTGTGAGATAGTCCTTGAAAAAATATTCTTGAAAAAATCCACGCCTATTGTGAGATAGTCCTTGAAAAAATATTCCTGAAAAAATCCACGCCTATTGTGAGATAGTCCTTGAAAAAATATTCTTGAAAAAATCCACGCCTATGGTGAGATAGTCCTTGAAAAAATCCACGCCTATTGTGAGATAGTCCTTGAAAAATTATTCTTTAAAAAATCCACGCCTATTGTGAGATAGACCTTGAAAAAAATATTCTTGAAAAATCCACGCCTATTGTGAGATAGTCCTTGAAAAAATATTCTTTAAAAAATCCACGCCTATTGTGAGATAGTCCTTGAAAAAATATTCTTTAAAAAATCCACGCCTATTGTGAGTCCTTGAAAAAATATTCTTTAATAATTCATGCATATGATAGTCTTTGAGAAAATATTCTTTAATAATACACGCCTATTATGAAAAAATTTTCTATATAAAAATGATAGTCATTTGTAAAAATATCCTTTATTAACCCGCACCTATTGTGATGAGAGTCCTTAGAAAAAATATTATTTAAAAAATCCTCCCCTACTTTGAAGATAGACCATAAAAATTATAGCCCTCTAATATTTTCTTTAAATCCTCCTTGATGGAGGTTGCATATCGTCCCGATTCGTTAATTCTAATAATTTGTTTTTTCCTCCTTAGTCTCACCGCCACAATGGACTCTGTGTTTATGTGTTGCAGTACCATGTACTGGGCATCGGGACTTATGAATTTACTACAGAGTCTCTTATATTCTGCCCTACGTATTGTGCCCGATAGAGCCTATTGTCCAGGATATTTTCTCGAACTTATCCAACGTTACAAAATTACACATTGCTTTGCCACCGGTACTCAAATAGTTGATACTGTCCTGAGTTAGGACAAAAATCGTATACGTGGTGCCAAAGTACACCAATCCACTCAAGAACAATTGGTAGAAATCCTCAGCAATAATACAAAACGTCCTGCAATCACCTATGTCCTATCGGAAATAACGGGCGGTGTCACCCAGAATGGTGGTTATCCATTCGAGTTTAAGGTGGCAACTGAAGGTAAGTTGTGGCGCAATCGAGAGGTGTGTATTGTTGACGAAACCGGCCAACGATTGGGTCCAAATTAAACTGGAGAAATATATGTTCACAGTCCCTATAACTGGTTGGCTTATTACAACAATCCAGAGGTCACGGCACAAGCGAAGCAGGGAAAATGGATAAAGACAGGAGATTTGGGTTTCTTTGACAACGAGGGTTTCCTACATTTAATAGGCCGTGCCAAAGAAATGTTCAAATGGAGAGGATTCCAAATATGCCCCCAACCTATAGAAGAGGTAATACAACGTATACCCGGAGTGACCGAAGTTTGCGTATTTCTCATACCCGATTTGGTGGCTGGTAATTTGACGGCATGTGCCATTGTAAGGAGTCAAGATGTAAATGGCCAGCAGTTGACGGCTCAAATGATAAATGAATATCTCGAGCAGGAAATGTATAGTTTCTATCATATATGAGTAGGTATTTATTTTATAGATGCTTTACAGCGTACCGACACCGGAAAAGTGCAGCGCATGAAGATGACACAAATTATTAGAGAAATTGAAAGATAGTTTTTTTTATATATTCTTCTTTAGTTAATTTGAATTTTAGTTTTAATAAAATTTAATAGTTAATTAGTGTATGTTAATAGGAAAAAAAGATTTTTTGATAAGGTATAAGTCTGTTCAACTGCTTTTATTGGGCACAATAAAAAGAAGTCAAGGTGGAAGAGTGTATTTTAATCTCAAACAGATTACCTTCATCCGCTTTCACTTTCTGAGTCGATTTATGCATGTCCGTCCGTCCATCCGTCTCTTGATGTTAAATTGTAAACATAGTACAGGTCGCATTTATGATCCGATTTGGATGAAATTTGAAATTTCAAATTTAGATATAGCTCCCATATATAGTTTCGCCCGCTTTTAGGTAAATGGTGGACCAAAGTCCCTATATATATTTCGATTTGCACAAAATGTGGTATAGCGTAATGAATTAGGTCTAGAATGACGTGTGCTAAGTTTCGTGAAAATCTGTTCAGATTTAGATATAGCTCCCATATATAGTTTCGGCCGATTTTAGGTATGTGGTGCACCAAAGTCCCTGAAAATCATTCGATTTGCACGAATTTTGGCATAGCGTATTGAATTAAGTCTAGAATGATGTGTACACCTCCCATATATATATTTTCGTCCGATTTTAAATTAATTGTGCACTATAGATCCATAGCTAGGCCGATTGACGCAACCTACTGAAGTTTATATAAATTATTCTCTAGCAGGTTTGCTTGAAATCGGTTCAGATATAGATATATCGTAGCTTCCATATATAATTACGACTTATTTATGTTAATAGTACCCCAAATAAACAATGGGTGTCTGAATTAGATTAAATTTTAAACAATGCAGCATACCGAATAGCGTGTGTCAAGTTTGCTTTAAATCGATTTCCACAAATCTGTCCCACTGTGCACAAACGACTCTAAACTTGCCCAAATGACATGAAATTTAGCATAGGTTCCAGTAAGAAAAATCACATATTTAAGTTCGTTCAATTTCATGTCAAAAATGCGACGTCTTTTCGGATACATACATAGAATATACCCAAAGCGGTCCAGTCCGACTTTACTACTTTCCTCACTGCAATAAAAAATGTTCTTATCACGGCTGCTTGGGGTCGATGAGTAGTCAAAAACAAAGATAATAAATATGATCATAAAATTATGGTAGGGTATGACACAGTCTGCACCACCACCTATTATCTGCTGTTTATTTTGTTTCACATTGGAGACGATCAGTGGCATATTGCAATGGAAAATAACGGTACCTGGAATTTGTTGTTTCCTAGTGACTGTGTGTTAACCAAAAAAGTGTAAATAAAAAGTATTAACAAAATAATTAACCAAATACTTGGTTGGTGACAACGTATTATTGCAATAAAAATGTTCTTATCACGGCTGCTTGGGGTCGATGAGTAGTCAAAAAGAAAGTTTATAAATAATAAACAATCACTAAATTCTAAAAATATTTGAGATTTGAGTGTCGAGATAAGTAGCACAAATGTTCCAAGTGATTCGCAATACAAATTAATGTGAGAACGTCATCTGGCGTTAGTCGTTAAAAGATAGTTGGGCAATAAGCAGAGAATAGCGAAAAGAATACAACAAAAAATTGAATTAAAAAATTGACTTAAAAATGGCTCATCTAACTGCATCTGTATATAATGAAGGGGAGAAAATATGGTCGGGACCCAAAACTAAGGAAATCTATAGCCCTGAAATGACCGTGGGCGAGGTCATTGTAATGCAATTACGTAGAACTCCCAACAAAATAATACAAATTTTGGAGTCTACCGGAGAATCTCTCACAGCCCAGGAATATCTTAACTACAGTATGGCATTGGCAAGGAATCTACTCGATTTGAGTATAAAACCAGGTGATATTGTGGGTGTGTATGCCAAACATTCGCTGCATTTGGTCACCGTTATGTTGGCATCATTTCTGTGTGGCACACCGGTACATGGAGTTTTCCATGGCTTTGAAAAGGGTAAGAAAAGAGTCCATATTTGAAGTTCCCCGAATTAATTATAATTTCCGTTTTTATTTAGATACCATTACAAAACTCTATGAAACCACCCGACCCAATATAATCTTCTGTGATGAGGAAAATTATGAAAAGGCCCTTTATACCAAGGACACGTTGCAATTGGATGCTAAAATTGTTATAATGACTGGCAGTGTAAAGGATGTCTTACACATCCAAAATTTGGTAAATACACTGAGGGAGGTTGGTGATCTTTCAAGTTTCCCATGCACTAAATTTTGCCAGTGCTGATACAGCAGCGATATTGTCTTCGTCGGGTACCACGGGTACGCCAAAGGGTGTACTGTGCTCTCATCAGTCTATGCTTCATAATGTTGTTTAGTAAGTATGAGTACTTTAAAGAGTATTTTTCAAGTCCCAAAAAAATCTCTTAAAAAATATTATTTAAAAAACCCACTCCTATAGTTAAAATTGTCCTTGAAAAAAATATTCTTTAGATATACTGACAGGTACTTGAAATGAAAATATAGGGAAAATACCAAAAAGCGGACGCATACCGACATTTCTACAAACCGATTATGTAAACCATGATATAAATTTCAGAAATTTTTAATGGATAATTATACCCTCAGCCATATGGCTAATGACGGTGATACGGTGAAAATGAGCCTCATGGAAATATTGGTTCTTTGGACCAAATTTGTTTCAGAAAATTTTGATTTCATCCAAACTTTGGCCATCTTATTAGTTGTTCCAAACTTAGTTCAAGTTCGAAGATAGAAAATTTCGGTCCACCCCACAGAGGGGCTAGGTCTAAATGCGGGTTATAGTTCATATATAGCTCATTATCGAACATTACGTTCTAGTTTTTTATCTCGATATCCTCCGCAGGTGAAATGATTGCAACAGAGTATTAGAAGCAAACCCAAAACGCGGAACAAATTAGATAACTATATTAATATATATATATATATATATATATTTCAGCACCCTATCTCAATTCCTTTAGAAATATCGTGATTACAACCGACGGACGGACAGACCGACGTCTTAGAATTTTACCCTAATCAAGAATATATATCCTTTATAGCGTCGGAAAGGAATATTTCGATGAGTTACAAATGGAATGACAAATTAGTATACCCTCCATACTATGGTGGAGGGTATAAAAATCCACGCCTCTTGTGATGATAGTCCTTGAAACATATTCCTTAAAAAAATCAACGCCTATAGTTAGAATAGTCCTTTAAAAATATTCCTTAAAAAATCAACGCCTATAGTTAGAATAGTCCTTGAAAAATATTCATTAAAAAATCAACGCCTATAGTTAGAATAGTCCTAAAAAAAAATTCCTTAAAAAATCCACGCCTATAATTAGAATAGTCAACGCCTTTAGTTAGAATAGTCCTAAAAAAATATTCTTTAAAAAGCCACGCCTATAGCTCCGATAGTCCTTGAAAAAATATTCTTTAAAAAATCCACGCCTATAGCTCCGATAGTCCTTGAAAAAATATTCTTTAAAAAATCCACGCCTATAGCTCCGATAGTCCTTGAAAAAATATTCTTTAAAAAATCCACGCCTATAGCTCCGATAGTCCTTGAAAAAATATTCTTTAAAAAATCCACGCCTATAGCTCCGATAGTCCTTGAAAAAATATTCTTTAAAAAATCCACGCCTATAGCTCCGATAGTCCTTGAAAAAATATTCTTTAAAAAATCCACGCCTATAGCTCCGATAGTCCTTGAAAAAATATTCTTTAAAAAATCCACGCCTATAGCTCCGATAGTCCTTGAAAAAATATTCTTTAAAAAATCCACGCCTATAGCTCCGATAGTCCTTGAAAAAATATTCTTTAAAAAATCCACGCCTATAGCTCCGATAGTCCTTGAAAAAATATTCTTTAAAAAATCCACGCCTATAGCTCCGATAGTCCTTGAAAAAATATTCTTTAAAAAATCCACGCATATTGCTCCGATAGTCCTTGAAAAAATATTCTTTAAAAAATCCACGCCTATAGTTCGGATAGTCCTTGAAAAAATATTCATTGAAAAATCCACACCTATAGTTCGGATAGTCCTTGAAAAAATATTCTTTAAAAAATCCACGCCTATAGTTCGGATAATCCTTGAAAAAAATATTCTTTAAAAAATCCACGCCTTGTGGTTACTTGAAAAAAATATTCTTTAAATAATTCAGGATAGTTTTTAAAAAATATTATTCAAACCAATTGTTATAGTTCAGATAGTCCTTGAAAAAATGTTCTTAAAAGCATCCAAGAGCCCTGAAAAATATTATTTACAAATTCAAAATATGGACCTAAAGTAATTAACTTTTTTATTTCTTTTCATTCCCTTACCCACCAGCTTCACCGCCACCATGGATTCAGTGTTTATTTGTTTCAGTACCATGTACTGGGCATCGGGTGTTATGAACTTACTACAAAGTTTACTCTATTCCGCATTGCGTATTGTTTCCGATCGTCCCTATAATACAGAGTATTTCCTCGATGTGGTTAAACGTTACAAGGTGACACATGTCTTTTCAACGGGTACACAAATAGCCGATTTGGTGCTGAATGGAGACAAAAATGTGGCTCGTGCTGCCCTCGAATCCATTGATACAATGATGTGTGGTGGTACCAAAATTCCCCAGGCGATACAAGATCAAATGATTGAAATTTTTGGCGATAATACAAAACGTCCTGGCTTTGTCATTGGTTATGGACTATCGGAAATAATGGGTGGTGTTAGCATTAATGGTGGTTATCCATTCCTACAGTCCATTTATATGGTTGGGTTATTACAAGAATCCAGAGGCCACGGCACAAGCGAAGCAGGGAAAACGGATAAAGACAGGAGATTTGGGTTTCTTTGACAACGAGGGTTTCCTACATTTAAAAGGCCGTGCCAAAGAAATGTTCAAATGGAGAGGATTTCAAATATGCCCCCAACCTATAGAAGAGGTAATAAAACGTATACCCGGAGTGAACGAAGTTTGTGTATTTCCCATACCCGATTTGGTGGCTGGTAATTTGACGGCATGTGCCATTGTAAGGAGTCAAGATGTAAATGGCCAGCAGTTGACGGCGCAAATGATAAATGAATATCTGGAGCAGGAAATGTATAGTTTCTATCATATATGAGTAGGTATTTATTTTATAGATGCTTTACCGCGTACCGACACTGGAAAAGTGCAGCGCATGAAGATGACACAAATTATTAGTTAATTTGAATATTAGTTTTAGCAAAATTTAATAGTTCATGTATGTATGTTAATAGGAAATAAAGATGTTTTTTGATAAGGCATAAGTCCGTTCAACGGATTTTATTGGGCACTATAAAAAGAAGTCCACGTGGAAGAGCTTATTTTAATCTCAAACTGATTACCTACATCCGCGTGTTTATGTCAACCTGAATGCTTTAGAAAAAATTGCCATGTAACCATGTAAATCGTGATAAGAAAGTTGGAAACGGTTGTGTAATAGGTGCAAGGAGAATTCCTAGATAGAATAAACTAAGGTTAGAGTTTTCCAAATTACTGTCACAAATACCGACACTATCACAAATACCGAAAATGGATCGGTACTGTTATATGAGAACTGTACCAAATTAGAGCCAAATGTTTGTTGAAAAATGTTTCCATTATAAAACGTTTCTAACGATACCATTATATATAAAATTTTTATATAATTACGGGCAATTTGGTTGAAACAACTACACAAATTCCGAAATTGGGTATATAGTGTATTACGGGAGCTACCCTAAAAAGTAGAATAATTTTGATAATTTTTACCTTAAAAAATTAAGGTATATTTTCATAATTATAGTTAATTTTTTCATATTGTGCATGCACCTCGTTTTGAATACAAGTACAAAATTCTTTTAATCTTGAGAAAGCCATTGATTTTTTCAAAAAATTTAACATTTCATTATTTGTGCTCATTTATCCTCTCTCCCTCTCTTTTTTTTTTGTCGAAAACAAATATATTCCTCCCAAGAAAAATCTCCACAACCACCATTTATTTTTCGGCTGTGTTTTATTTTGATATCGTTCTCCGCCTCTTGTTTGGATTTCATTGTTTCTTTATTTCAGTACTCTTGGTGTTACAAAATTCGCATATGTATTTTCCAAATTATTTCGATATAAATACCAAATAAAATATGTATATCAAACAAGTGTGAATACGAACATCAAACCCAACCGAATGTTTATGAACATGTATATAAGAAAATATAAAATGAAAATAGGGAAACTTAACGACAAAGAATTTCTCTTCCATAGAAACCCGCCATTACCACCAAACACACTCTCACTTTCTTTGACAGAAAACCAGCATTTAGATATGTACAGTTCACGAACGAGCTGGTTCAAATGAAAGATTCACTTAAAGCAACGTTATTCAGTAAAGACAATGAATATAAATGTGGCTGGCATCTTATGTTGGCAAACTACAAAGGCAGTTATAATTCTCCAGTTTTTTGTGAATCAAAGCCAGTATTTTTTCTATATGCCTTTAAAAATAAAACATAGTTCTATTTGGTTGCATTTCAAAGAAAATGGATCGACAAGGGTGACATGTAATTATTGCCAAGCATCTTACTACTTTGGTGATGGAAATGCAAGAAACACCCATGGAAATATAGATTTCTCAAAATGCCAGAATTAAAAAAAATAGTAATATAGGCTATGTCACAGTGCCCTGTACGAGACAAACACTTTTAAAAAATGTTCTGCCGACAGTCTACAACGATATTTTAATGTAACTCTCTCAAAAGTGATTTGCATTTTTTAACGAGCATTATTGCGAAAAGTTCCTCCATCAACAAAAAAGTATCGGCAATGTTGACAATAATGGGACATTACCCGCTAGCAATGAAAAATCCAATTGGTGGTATGTAACTAGTCCCAGCACTAGTTATAAAACGTAAAAGTTGCTATTTTGACCCTAAAGTAATGAAGAGGAACCAAATGTCTACCTTTTTATCCTATAGTAAACGAGAAGGAGTCCCTTGCGATATTAAAGAAAAAACTCAGTTTTTTTTTGTCAAAAGAGAAGCGTAAAATATTTAAACATTCTCTCCCAACAGCCACAAAAACTATTTTTTTATGTTATGTAGCTAGTTCCGGCACTACCGTACCAGTTACAAATTTGAGCCTAAACTAATACCAGCCGAATCAAGTGACTACCTTTTTATCCTGTAGTAAACGAGAAGAAGTCTCTTGCGATCTTAAAGAAAAACACGGTTTTTGCTGGTTCGTCTGCATAAAAATACGTTACTCTCCGTGAATAGGAAATAAGAAATCTTTTTGTGATCGTCTTGAAGTGCGATGGCATCAAATTGTTAAATTATAAAGAAAAACTGTATCATGTAAAACAAATAAATTTTTTAACTCAAACGGAAGGATATATATGTAAGTACTTCTATATATATTACCTATTGAATATATATTATTGTATAAAACGTGAATGAATGACTCTTGAAAATTATGAATATGGGATTACATTCTCTTAGTAACTTATGCAATTTTCTTTTAGGTAAAGTATTAGACACATATTTCCTCTTTTTTACTATAATATTATAATCATTGTTATTTATTTCCAGATTCAATACCTGTAACCGAAGGATCTGACACAACTGAAATGTAATTGCAGTATGAAAGTAGTACGGTTTTACTTATATGTAATTAAAAAAAAATTAAAATCAAATTAATAAATGAGTGTTTTAATTGCTAATTGTATCATAAAAACAGCACTGAACTACTTCTTACGGAACTAGAAATGTGGGTAGTCTAATGTAAGTAGTCTTTGACTGTACACCTGTAGTCCTCGGGTAAGCGAAGGAGTGTCTATTGGTTACGTCCTATGACATCCCCATGTTAAAATAAACAGTTAAATACATTGTTAAGGGGTGTAAAGTGGAACTAGCAGTTCCTCTTGCTAGCGGGTAACGCATTAACGAACCTAAGGACTCAAACTTCATATATACTTGCTGAATATTTCGAGGTGTTGAAAACTGAATGCCAATTTTAATATACACACCAAATTTTTTGATAATATTTTTTCAATAGTAAGCAGACCTTCCAAGGTATAAAAACTCCACTGGAGGGTCTGCTACATTGAATGCTATAAAAACTTCACTCTGGAAGGTCTGTCTGACCTTATAGACTTTAACCCGAAACTAGAAAAATATTATATAAAAACCACTCTAGTAAATAAAATAATATTCTATTCAAAATCTACGACAACGGTAGCCCTTATTAACAGGGACCGAAAATAACCGTTATTTTTGAAAATGCGAACAAAAAAAATCTTCATGTTAGAGACATGGTACACCTATAGTGTCATATACCAATAGATTCGTATTGACGAGCCCATTAAGGATATTGAGTGATCTTGAGAAAACGCTCTCAATTCCCATGTGGAGAATTATTTTTCAACGGTAAAAAATAAACGTTGATTTTAACAGTTAAAAATTATTGTTATTTTTTTCCGTCAAATGTAAAAGTCATTTTAAGAGTTTTATTTTTTCCGTCAAAAATAAAAATCATTGACCATTGAAATTGACCTTACAGTCAAGAAGCGGATATTCTAACTACTAAACCATATCAAACGTGAAATCTATTTGCACAATTTTCAATTTGAATAACATTAATTATGTTGTTCATTATTTACATCATTATACCCTACAACAATACGTCGATTTAGACATATGTGTCTGTCTGCCTATTATAATTTTTAACACAGTGCAGGATATAGTTATGTACTAATCGTCACGAAATTTTGCATGTAAATCCTTTTGAGACCCAAACATTGATCTGACCTTGGAATAAATATGAATATAAATAAATATTTTCAAGGTGATCGGTCAAATGGACACAACAATTTTTTATGTGGAAAATGCCAAAATTTGCATTCTACGTCGTATATATTTATTATTGAAGAACATAGTCCGGAGAAGTTGGCAAATTATTCATGAAGGATGGTTGAACTTTAACTTATATTGGAGTATGTAGTCGGATGTAGGAGTTATACCTAAATATTTACAAGGGCCTATCAATTCGGGTATTTGTTTTGTATTTCCCTTACCACACCAGAGGTCAGATACGTCGAGCTGTTATTGGTTAAGATCAAGAACAACACCCAAATTTTTGGTGACGGTCAGATGATATTTTGTTGAATGAAATGGACCAACAACTTTATTTTTATCAGAATTCCTTGTCGCAATAGTATAAGCCGAACATCGTAAATTTTAAACGGGGAAGGGCATATTACTAACAAATTGGAATCACTCTTTTGGTAATGGTCTGAAAATATTTAGCGGGTCAAGTGAGCCAAGAAATATTTGTGTTAAAACATAAAATGTACATCTTATGTCGTAAATGTTCACATCGAAAGAACAAAATTCAGAAAGATGCCAGGTTAAAAAGATGAGCCGTTTGTATCTGATTGTTCAAAAGATCTGCAGAAAGTTGGAGTTCAGTGGTAGTTTAGTAGGGTATAAGATGGTGGACCCCGCCGGCTTTACTGTTCCGCTCATTGGTTTTTACTTACTGTGGTAAATTTAATTTAAAAGACTGTGTTTATTTTGTCAATATTTGTGCAGTTATTGTTTTTTAACTGTTAGTATTAAATTCGTATTCCTAAGAAGTAGATTCTCCCAATTAGTTTACGAAAAATACCGTCTCGGTAGTGTCATAAGTATATTTCAATGGAATATTTATATATTGATTTAATATGGGCCGCAAAGCTAATGACACTGTTCGTACATTTTACGAAAAAGTTGGTGATGTGAATAAATATCGGTTGTGTAAAATCGTTTAAAAGGGTGACTATATTTCGAATCTATAGCGCCATATAATAAAGTAGCACAGGGAACAGTATATCATGGAGCAGAGTAATATATATGCCTAAACGTGGACCGATATAACCCATCTTCGAACGTGGCCTGTCTGCAAACAAAAAACCACTTATGTAAAATTTTGGTGATCTATCTCAATTCGTTTAGACGCTAGAGTGATTACAACAGACGGACATGCTAGGGTCGTAAATGATTATTTCGATGAGTTACAAACAAAATTAAAATACTATGGTGGAGGGTATAAAAAATCTTTGAAAACATTGGTCCACGTATTTTTATATCCCTTTTAATATCAACTTATAGCTGAATATCTGAAGGATAAAGTTGAAAATGTTTTGGAAGACTTTGATATCGACAAAAAGCAAACTAAGATAACATAAATAAAAATTTATTAAATCGAGTACGAGATTTAGCGAAGGCTTTACTCACTCCTACTTACAGGATGGTTACAAACAAATTAATATCATCGAAATTAAGCACAACATTATTATAGGAACAAGAGTATTGATTTGAACTTGCCGAAAGTTACTAATGATTAAAAGCATCATGGCCTATAAATCATTTTGCTTAAAAAATATGGATGCGGCCCTTTAAATAAGTCAGGCAGAATGGGATAATGTGGAAATCGTGTTAACTATTTTAGACCCTGTGTACATTGCAACTCAAAAGCTCCAAGAAGAGCAGCTATTTTTTGTCGATTTTTTTAAAGTGTGGCTTGAAATGAAGCTTGATATACAAACAAAGTCCAACAGCTCTGAATTTGTGCGGAAAACCCTACATTTCTGGCAGCATTATATTGGGATCCTCGTTTAAACTGCCTCATTTTAAAAGAACCATTAAAATTAATGTGTGCTCGAACTCATCTTAAGGAACTGATTGTCAGAATATTGCAGATGGAGATGCATGTATGCTTCCTACTTGTATTTTTATTGCACATAAAGTTCGATATACTTGTTCTTTTTTTCAGACAAATAATAATCATTGTGACGATCAACCATCAAGCAGTAATGAAACATTACAGTCTTCGCAAGATGTTTTTGAGACTTCACAATCAAACACCTCGCTCTTAGGGCAGTATTTGAACTCTCTTAATGTAGATAGAGACATTGAAGACGAAGAAAATGATTTCGACGAAAAACAGAGAGCATTTTATGAAATTGACAATTTTTCTCCGAGGCCAATACCGATTGATAAACCACTTTTTGAATTTTGGGAAGCCAAAAAAAAATTCAGTATCCATATTTATACAAATTGGCAAAAGTTGTTCAGTGTGTTCCTGCTACGCAGGTAAGCGTAGAAAGAGCATTTTCAGCTCTTAAAGTGGTGCTGAGTGACCTCCGTTCAAATCTTTCAAATTTGGAAAATATTATGTTCATTAAACTTAACATATAAAAAGCAAATGTTTTCATATTTTTTGAATAAATTAACTAAATATTTCAAAATAAAAATATGCGTAAACTAATTTTTATGGAATACCGTCTTATAAATTAAATTCACCACAGTAGGTAAAAAATATGTAAATAAGAAGAATAATGAACAAAATAATTAATGTTATTCAAATTGAAAATTGTGCAAATAGATTTCACGTTTGATGTGGCCTAGTAGTTAGAACATCCGCTTCTTGACTGTAAGGTCGCCGGTCCTAACCACGGTTCGGCATAATAAGACTCAGCGCGAGAGAATTGTAGATCTCTAATATTCTTGATTTTATTGATTACACTAAACCATTTTCTATTTTTATTACACGTCTTGCCATTTCTATATGTCAATATAAGTTAATTGAGTTTTATTTTCTGACGGAAAAAATAAAAATCCCACAAAGAGTTTTATTTTTGGGGGAAAAATTAAAACTCGTAAATGATTTTTATATTTGACGGAAAAATAAAACTCCTAAAATGATTTTTATTTTTGACGGAAAAAATAAAAGTCCCAAATGATTTTTATTTTTGACGGAAAAAATAAAAGTCCAAAAATGATTTTTATTTTTGACGGAAAAAAATAAAAATCCCACAAAGACTTTTGTTTTTGACGGAAAAAATAAAAGTTCCAAAAAGAGTTTTATTTTTGACGAAAAAAAACAGTCATTTCTAACTGTTCAAAGTCAACGTTTATTTTTTCCGTTAATAAATAAATAATTAAAATGGATTTTTTTATTTAAGCCACATAATAGCAGTTATTTAATACCTAATTTGATATAACTTATAACCGTTACGGTCCCTGCTTATTAAAAACTCTGTGTACTGAAAAAAATCTTTAAACATTCTAATGCCATCATAATCAACAATAAAATATACAATTTGCATTTAATTAGGGTTTCCCCAGCTATGATCATAAAATTATGGTAGGGTATGATACAGTCTGCACCACCACCTATTATCTGCTGTTTATTTTGTTTCACATTGGAGACGATCAGTGGCATATTGCAATGGAAAATAACGGTACCTGGAATTTGTTTTTTCCTAGTGATTGGTTGGTGACAACGTATTATTGCAATAAAAATGTTCTTATCACGGCTGCTTGGGGTCGATGAGTAGTCAAAAAGAAAGTTTATAAATAATAAACAATCACTAAATTCTAGAAATCATAGATTTGAGTGTCGAGATAAGTAGCACAAATGTTCCAAGTGATTCGCAATACAAATTAATGTGAGAACGTCATCTGGCGTTAGTCGTTAAAAGATAGTTGGGCAATAAGCAGAGAATAGCGAAAAGAATACAACAAAAAATTGAATTAAAAAATTGACTTAAAAAATGGCTCATCTAACTGCATCTGTATATAATGAAGGGGAGAAAATATGGTCGGGACCCAAAACTAAGGAAATCTATAGCCCTGAAATGACCGTGGGCGAGGTCATTGTAATGCAATTACGTAGAACTCCCAACAAAATAATACAAATTTTGGAGTCTACCGGAGAATCGCTCACGGCCCATGAATATCTTAACTACAGTATGGCATTGGCAAGGAATCTACTCGATTTGGGTATAAAACCAGGTGATATTGTGGGTCTGTATGCCAAACATTCTCTGCATTTGGCCACCGTTATGTTGGCATCATTTCTGTGTGGCACACCGGTACATGGAGTTTTCCATGGCTTTGAAAAGGGTAAGAAAAGTGTCCATATTTGAAGTTCCCCGAATTAATTATAAGTTCCGTTTTTATTTAGATACCATTACAAAACTCTATGAAACCACCCGACCCAAGATAATCTTCTGTGATGAGGAAAATTATAAAAAGGTCCTTTATACCAAGGACACGTTGGAATTGGATGCTAAAATTGTTATAATGACTGGCAGTGTAAAGGATGTCTTACACATCCAAAATTTGGTAAATACACTGAGGGAGGTTGGTGATCTTTCAAGTTTCCCATGCACCAAATTGTCCAGTGCTGACACAGCAGCGATATTGTGTTCGTCGGGTACGACGGGTACGCCAAAGGGTGTACTATGCTCTCATCAGTCTATGCTTCATAATCTTCTATAGTAAGTATGGGTACTTTGAAGAAAGAACTCGAAAAATATTTCTGATAATTATTGAAAAGTATTCTTTAAAAAACCTACGCCTATTTTTATGATAGTCCTTTGGAAACTTTCCCAACAAAATTCACACCTATTGTTATGATAGTTCTTGAAAAATCCAAGCCTAGAGTCCTTAAAAATATTCTTTAAAAAATTCATGCCTATAGTTCGGCTAGTCCTTGAACAAATATTCTTTAAAAAATCCACTCCTATAGTTCGGATAGTCCTTGAAAAAATATTCTTTAAAAAATCCACTCCTATAGTTCGGATAGTCCTTGAAAATTCTTTCCTTAAAAAATCCATGCCCATAGTTCGGATAGTCCTTGAAAAAATATTATTTAACAAATCCACGCCTGTATTTCGGATAGTCCTTGAAAAAATATTCTTCAAAAAACCATGCCTATTGTGAGATAGTCCTTGAAAAATATTCTTTAAGAAATCCATGCCTATTGTGAGATAGTCCTTGAAAAAATATTCTTTAAGAAATCCATGCCTATTGTGAGATAGTCCTTGAAAAAATATTCTTTAAAAAATCCACGCCTATATCTCGGATAGTCCTCGAAAAAATATTCTTTAAAAAATCCACGCCAATATGTCGGATAGTTCTTGAAAAAATATTCTTTAAAAAATCCACACCAATATGTCGGATAGTTCTTGAAAAAATATTCCTTAAAAACCCACGCCAATAGCTCGGTAGTCCTTGAAAAATAATCTTATTAATATTATTCAAAAATCCATGCTTATAGTTGAAATAGTCCTTGACAAAATATTCTTAAAGGCATCAGTTTTTTAGCTCCAAGAGCCTATAAATATATTATTTAGAAATTCGAAATATAGACCTAAAGTAACTAACGTTTTTAATTTCTTTCCCCACAACCTACCAGCCTCACCGCCACCATGGACTCAGTGCTTTTGTGTTTCAGTACAATGTACTGGGCATCGGGTGTTATGAATTTACTACAAGGTTTACTCTATTCCGCATTGCGTATTGTTCCCGATCGTCCCTATACTCCAGAGTATTTCCTCGATGTGGTTAAACGTTACAAGGTGACACATGTCTTTTCCACGGGTGCACAAATAGCCGATTTGGTTCTGAATGGAGACAAAAATGTGGCTCGTGCTGCGCTCGAATCCATTGATACACTGATGTGTGGTGGTGCCAAAATTCCCCAGGCGATACAAGAACAAATCATTGAAATTTTTGGCGATAATACAAAACGTCCTGGCTTTGTCATTGGTTATGGACTATCGGAAATAATGGGTGGTGTTAGCATTAATGGTGGTTATCCATTCCAGTTTAAGGCCCAAACTGAAGGTAAACTATGGCCCAACCGAGAAGTGTGTATTGTCGGCGAGAAGGGGCAACGTATGGGTCCAAATGAAACCGGAGAGGTTTATGTCTACAGTCCATATATATGGTTGGGTTATTACAACAATCCAGAGGCCACGGCACAAGCGAAGCAGGGAAAATGGATAAAGACGGGCGATTTGGGTTTCTTTGACAACGAAGGGTTCCTACATCTGATTGGTCGCGCCAAGGAAATGTTCAAATGGAAAAATTTCCAAATTTGTCCACAACCCATTGAAGAAGTACTACAGCGAATACCCGGTGTGGCCGAAGTTTGTGTATTTCCCATTCCCGATTTAGTGGCTGAGAACTTGGCTGCCTGTGCCATTGTCAAGAGCAAAGATGCTGTTGGTAAGCAACTGACGGCCCGAATGGTTAACGAATGCATCGAACAACAAATGGACAGTTATTATCATTTACGGGGTGGCGTCTACTTTGTGGACTCTCTGCCCCGCACCGATACGGGGAAAGTTCAGCGTTTGAAAATGGCACAACTTATTGGTGAAATTGATCGATAAATTTCCATTACCCAGCGGTTTCTTAACTCCTTTGTTTGTATGTATAATTAGTATAATACCATACCTGTACACATATAATTTAATCTTAAGTATAGTTTATTGCTAAAAAAATGAATTTAAATTAAGTTTTGTTTTTGTTATTTTTTATTTTGTTGTCAAGTACACACATATATAAATTAAAATTGTTTTGTTTATCTTTTGAATCGTTGCTTTGCATTTTTTATTATTTGAGATATGAGGAGGTCCCCTGCGTCACTTGAAGTCTTATCGTGAGTGTGCAGCGATACTGATCATACCACCAAGACACTTTGTTCATGAATTAAAAATAAGTTAATAGGGCATTATCGGACCAAATATGTGCCGCACTTCACATAGACAAATACTGTTATTGTGAAGCCGTCTATATTAGCAATCAATATCTTTTTATTAATTGAATCATTCGGACATGTTCTGGCATTCACTTCAACGGCAGAAGTGTATCGAACACACGCCGAGGTGTTCTGTAACACATTTTCATAGTGAGTGTCGGGTGTATTCATGTTTTTCTATATAAAAGAATATTATTTTTGAAATAAAAAATGCACATGATGATAGATTTACATGTTTAAACTCATAAAATTAAGATGAAATGTCATAAAAACCCAATTTTAATAAGATACTTAGGTTTGTGTTGCATTTATTCCGAATGAATCTCTCGCTTGACACAAACAGCTGATTTGCAAAAAGATCGTACAAGATAGGGTTGCCAAATGTTTCCCTTAAATCAGTCAACAAATTAATGATATTAAAGAGTCTTTCATACATGTATTTTATGTTGCAAATAATAAAATATTAAAAAAATAATAATAAAATTATCGTTAGAATTTACGAAATTACTAAAAAAATAACAGAAACAATGTTAAAAACGAATACAGTGTAAATTGTATGGCAACACTTTTTCTGCAAAGTACCATGTCGGCGTTTATTTTTGTCGCAGTTCGAAAATTTCAATTCACGTGAGATGCAGAACAGGAGGTAACTTCTGAGGTGAAGTGTATGTGTGAAGTGAAACGAACACGCCTTGAGTTCCAGAACATACCCGATTATTTTTTGCAGTATGAGCAGAAAATGTTTATGACGTAGTCAACTGGTCATCATTTATTAAATATAATAAACAAGTGAAAAAGGTGTTAAGTTCGGCCGGGAAGAACTTGGGATACCTTCCACCATAGATATTTGAAATGAAAATATAGGGTACATACCAAAAAGTGAATCTATACCGATAATTCTACAAACCGCTTTATGTAAACCATTATGTACACCAAAAACAAATTTCAGGAAATTTTAATGTAAACCCCAAAGCGTCCACGATACTAATAACGCATAGGAGCATATACAATCAGGAAATTTTAATGGAAACCCCAAAGCGTCCACGATACTAATAACGCATAGTAGAATATACAATCCTCAATCTACTGCATTTTGGTTTGAAAGTTAGATTACATAGTGTAGGAATTAGCGAATATTTGGGGTTATAATTATATGAGGGCTTTGCCTAATTATTGACCGATATATGTCAATTTCGAACCCAATATTTAAGTTTTGTATCTCAATTCTTTTCTTCAGGACGTATACTTATATGGGGGAGATGCCTAAACGCTGGTCGATATATTTCATTATCGTCAGGATCGAGTTTTTTTCATCACGTTCTCCTGAGAAAGTGGAATTATTACAACCGATGGCTAAATCGTCTTAGAATGTAGGGTAAAACTGACTATTTCCAGTAACGACTATCCTCTATTCTATAGTGGAATACCCCTAGATATATGGGGACAAACCCTACACACGGAACTAGTCAGCTAACTAATTTAATATAAGAAGGGGGTATATGGGAACTACCCCTATAAGGGGGCGAATATAAATAATTTTTGGTAGGAAGATTTTTTACAATATGCGACTACAAAATACCAAATTTTTTTGGTACCCAAAAAGAACCCATTGTTCCAAATTTCAGCAAATTCGATTGAAAAACGCTCACAAGATCCCCAAAATACCGAAAATTGGCGAAGCCCTTATATGTGGGCTACCCAAAAAAATTGACCTATATTTATAATTTTTAGCGAATTCGGTTTAAAAACACGCTTAAAACCCTCAAAATACCGTAAATTTTGTGCGTACGGTTATATGGGTCTACTATAAAAAGTTGACCTATATTTATAATTTTTAGTGGAGAAATTTGGTGCCCAATAAGAACTCATTGTACCAAACTTTCAGCGAATTTGGTTAAACGTAAATTAATTAAATAACAATGAAAGAGGGAGAGAGATTCAAAGGAACTAGATTGCCCAATTCTACATATAAAAGTGTCAGATCTATATATTGGCGTTTCTTTACCCAAAACCCGACCCATATTAAAATTCGGAAGTTTTGCCACCGACTGAGAACTCAAAATATTAAAGCCGACTTGGTTTGAATAACATGTCTCAAATCATCACAATGTCCCCATGCGGTTATATGGGAATACCTCGAATCTTGGGATAATACAAACAATTTAGAGTTCCGTCATATATCATAAAAAGTAATCATCAATCTGTATCTTTTCCTTTTGCATCTTATAACCAGTAAGGAAATTTAAAAAGGCGGACGGGCCCAATTATTTGATACCCTTAGCCACATTGGGTACATACAAGAGATGCTCATATGTACAGTATCATGTAGAGAGAATAGATCATTGAAATGGATTCGGACAAATTTAATTGAGTGAACCATAAAGATATTTGAACTACTTTACAGCAACCCATAGACATACCATTCTGACAGCTATGAAATCATTTGTATGAAATCCTTGTACAAATATTGGGAGTTCGTTGATCCATTTAGCTAACAGCGTTCACACTTACGACAAATGACACTATAAAACTTATAAATATATGCCCAAGTTACTCTCCGCGAGAAAATGGGACAACAAAAAGAAAAACTACCGTTATTTTTCAAAATTCAAGTAAAAATATATTGTCCGGATTGCAACAATATTCCCTATATAATTTCATATCTCTCTTAACGAAGTGATTTTTCACCTATGTGGTTGACCTTTTTGTGGAATTCGTGATTATATTATTGATCAGCGTAAAATTCTATGACGATATAGCCATGTCCGTCTGTCTGTTGTAATCACTCTAGCCTCTGAACGAATTAAGATTAGGTTAGGGATGTACGGTTGTTATGACAACCGTCCACTCGGAGACTATGTCCATTGTGATCATACTTTATCTATAATATACCTGTAAAAAAAGAAAAGAGAGAGTTGAAGAGTAGGGAAAAAAGATAGTGAGAGAAAAGGAGAGGAAGAGAGGTTATTTTAGCCAAGTCAAATTTTTGACAAAGCCTAGAAATTGGTTTGGGTCTAATTTGGAGAAGAAGACTAGATTATCAATTTCATATCTTCCAAACTGTTTATGTCTTCTGCTAATCAGCGATGGACATTTGCAGAGGATGTGTTCAATTGTTTCCAGTTCTTCTTCGTGTTCACATTGACGACAGTAATCCTCTCCACTGGAGTCCCACTTAGAAGTGAGAGATCTAATTTTGCAGTGACCTGTTACGATGACGATTTTGATCTCCCTCTTATTGTGTTTCAGCAGCGAAGACGTTCTTTTACGAGAGAATTCAGGCCAAATAGATTTTGAGATTCTGCAAGTAGGCACCCTTAGCCATCTGTTGCCAACTACCTCGCAATGGAACGCACGGATTTTGCCAATGAAATAGCTGATGGGAGGTTTCACAGATCTCTCAATCAGAAGATTGGACGACTGTGAGCCCCCTCGAGCAAGCTCGTCGGCTATATCATTCCCTTCAATGTCACTATGTCCTGGAACCCAACATAAACCAACTATCTGTCGTATATCATTCAAAGCGGACTTACAATCATGAACTGCTTTTGAATTTATAGTATGCGACTTCACCGCTTTCAGGGCCGCCTGACTATTGACATATATAGCCGCCGGTTCCGTTAAGTCGACATTAAGTGCTTTTACTATATCGGCCGCTTTCGTGATTGCAAGAATCTCTGCTTGAAAAACGCTACAGTTATTGTTGAGTTTATATGTAAACGCCTTCGCCAATGCGTTCCTCCATCTTAGACCCGTCTTCAGAGATTGACAGACCTGGCAGAGTTAAGGAGCCACTAGTCCACGATTCCCTACTAGGAAATTCAACTTTGATGTCATTAAAGTCCCTATGAGGGGGATTATAGTCACTGATATGACTATCCCCTCTAAAAAGGTCATAATCTGGCGTTATGTTTAGGATACTGGCATGACCATAGTTCAGCGATTTCAAGGCATCTGTTTCCTGGAGCCTCAGGGCACACCTGGCCGCCTGAAATTTAATCAGAATATCCAATGGTTGGAGATTCAAAATTGCGTTCAAGGCTGCATGTGGTGTACTTCTTAATGCTCCGGTGATCAGGATTGAAGCCGATCGTTGTACTAAGCTCAATTTTGTCAGCAGCATCTTTTTGTTAACCCCTGCCACCAAACAAGACAACCATAGGTAAGTATGGGTAAGACGATCTCGTATACAGCCAGTGTATAATTTCGGGTCTCAACCCCCAGCTCTTACCTATGGAATTCTTGCATGAATAGAGTGCCAGCAATCCCTTCTTAGAGCGATCCTCAACATTCCTATTCCACAATAGTTTGCGGTCTAGGATGGTGCCAAGATATTTAGCTTCTTCAGAAAGGGTTAAAATCGCTCCTCCAAGTGATGGCAGACGGAAACTAGGAATCTTGCGCTTCCTAATGAATAGCTTACACCGCTTAGTGGGGCTTACACCAAGACCTTTGGTGCAATCCCAATTAGACAGGGTTGAAAGGGCACCCTCCATGATGTCTGCAATTGTCGTTAGAAACTTATCCCCAACCAGCAGGACTACATCATCGGCATAGGCTACAACCTCTATCTTGAGATGATTGCATTTCATAAGTATCTCATTTATCACCAGAAGCCAAAAAAGGGGGGAT